ACCCAGCAGCCCAAGGGCCCTGACAAAGCCCAACAGCCTATGCAAGGCAAACAGGAAAAAAAGCAAGTGGAAGGGATAGCACCCTGCAGCACTGCAGTGTGAGGTGCTGCAGAAGTGACCAGCGATGTGTCATCTCAAGTGACTTTTTACATCCTCTGGCACTTGGGATTTTACCAGGGAGTTTCCTGCCTGAATTCTTGCACTGATGGCAGTTGTAGGGCTGCAAAGCTAAAGGGCAGACACACACAGACACACTGTGATTGCTTGGAAGGCCTTTTGGAAGCACAGACTCCAATCACACACATGAAATTGGGGTATTCTCTCCTGGGAATTCCAGTATGTCCATGGCTGGGATATCCTCACACACCTCTGGGCCAATGGGTGTGTGCCAGAACACAAGGATGCCACTCACCACAGCCGATGATACGCATAGCTTACACTTAAAACATCAGAGCTGACATCTTGGGGGTTGAAATGCATTTTTACTATTTATATAGAATCATAGAATCACATCGTAAAAAGCTGGAAAAGACCTCTAAGATTATCCATTCCGACCATCAGGCCATCCCCACCATGCCCACCACCTATGCCATTACACATTCACTACAGAAAAGTCAACTGGTTCAGGGTACACGCATACCCAGAATAGGATTGGAATTTTTTCAGTTTATCTCAGCCAGTTGCACTTTGTGGACCTGTCATAATGGGCTAGAAACTTCTCTGTGGGGGCTTCAAAATTTCCCTTCAAAACCTTTTTCTAGGGAAGATAACGTTTTTGGCTAAATGCCCTCTTTGCAATCAGCATCCTGTTTGCATTGAAACCTGCAATGTCTTATTAAATAAAAAAAGTCCCAGCGCTGTGCAATGGGTTTGATGAAGGAGTGGAAATTATCCTCGGGAATACATCTGGATAATTCTGCTCTCTAGTGACACAGGCAGGAATTGTTCCTTCCACTCGGACCAAACACTTTGCTTCTCCTCTCTCTTTGCCAGATACAGAAATAGAAGGGCAAGGCAGCCAGTAAAGTAAAAGTAAAGAGGCAGGGGAAGGGTGGGGAGGAAGCGAGCACTTTCAGTCTTAAAGCAGTTTCACTTTAAGCAGTGGACAAAATTTCGGGTTAGCTGCTGTCTGTAACCCCTTCTGCACAACCTTAGGCCATGGGAGCCACAGAAGTGTCAGCAAAAGGGATCGTCTGCACTGGAACCACCCCTGTGTTGTGCCTTTTTTTTCCTGTCTGTCTGTCTTGCTCTCTCTTTCCTCTTCACAGCATGTAATTTACAGTAAAGACACAGGAAGCTGAATGATTTCCTCCGAGGAAAGTACCTGACAAAGAGATGAACGAGTAAAATCACCAGGCCCTCAGCCTTCATCCTTACCCACATGTTCCCAATGGTTCCAGCCCCTGAAGGCACAGCAGGGGTGAATCTTTCCTGCTGCAATGCAAGCACAGGTGGCTTGAACTTGGGAATGACAGCAGCAATTAGCAACGCTGCATGTCATATCCAGCTCAACCATTCACACACTGCATTATCCTCAATATCACCCAAAAAGGGCACACGTGAAAAAACTTCTCAGGTGCCGTCCCAGTAAGACCACAAGCTCCCCATGCTTTAAAGGGGATGACAGTGAAGTGTGTGTGTATCTCAGTGTAGGAGTAGAAGAGATGAAAGATAGAGATTGTGCTTGAGTAGAACATCAGTTTGTCTGCTTATCTGCAATGGACCAACTTCCTCTCTTTCTTTTCCAACTCCTTCTAGCTGCAGAAAACCTTCCTTCCAACAGAGGTGTTGCAAGGCTTGCAGGTGGTTTCATTTTCCTGCCCCATCGGGATGCCATTCCTACTGCAGAATGAAATAGGCCTGATTCATCCTGCAGGAGGAACGTGGTCGGTACCAGCCCAGATGGAGACCTGTGGAAATCCCTCACCCACTGAAGTGAAACCCACCTCAGTGTGCAATCACCAGCTTTGCATTGCTGCTCCTAAAGCTGTGGGCCGGAATCTGGGAGAGTTTGTGAGCAACTGCAGATGACCCAGAAAGTCAGAGCTCTTCTTATGTTGTCTTTTATTTGTTTCCCTCTCACCTAAACTGACATCTTCACCACGAAGAGGTCATGTTATTCTCTAGATGAAAGGTCTGATAAAGATGTGTTTTTTACAGCAAGGTTGATCAGCCTTCCAAGAACAAACACTGCACGTGCAGCTCCTGCTGATATTTGCTTGCAGTCTCCTGGTGACAACCGCTCCTTGTTTATCAGAGCAAACATATGTTGTGCCCACAGAAAGCTGCAAAGGCACTGTGGGCTGAGATTTCTTTACCTGGAGAGGCTGCTGGGGAAATACCCAAGAAAGAGGCACATGAACAAAGAGAGTCAGGTTTCTGAGCAGACTATTTCAAAGAAAATGATACGGAAATCCTGAAGAGAGGATACACCTGACTGCTAGTTTTAGGTACTGCTGAAGCCCTGCTTACACACAAGTTCTCTTGAAGCAAAGCAACTGAAAGTTGTAATTTCAAATGAAGTGACTCCCTGTATGGGAAAGATGGAAAACAGAAGCTGCCTTCTGTTATGGATCACGAGGAGGGTTTGAGCTGCTTGCTCACTAGTGCAAGCTCGAGAGAAGATAGTTTTGTGGTTGTGCTTAACCCAGCAACAGATGAGATGTTTCCCTTGATTAATGAATCAGAGCAGAGTCAGAAGGAGAGCTAAGGGAGCTGCACCTGGAGGTGGTGCACCTAAAGAGTGTCTCCTCCAAATATGAGGTCTTGCTTGGGTCACAGTCTGATAAAAGGTTTCTGCAGAGCTGGGCATGCACAGAGTGAAGGAGCATGGATAAATCCAATGGGGGTTGGAAAAGTTGCTTTGCCACATGCATATCTCAAAACTACCCCTTACGGGTAACCCATGAATTCTGTTCCCCTCCCAAAATATCTCCCTCAGTACCTCTGAGCCCTTGGATCTCACTGTCTGAGCTTCTGGAACCTGTTCCCCTCCTGCCCTCTTGGGCTCCCGCATGGAAGTGATGGGGAAGCAGTGCTACACCAGTGCTACAGTGGTTTACTAGGCAGGCAATTGGAGAATCCGTGGCAGATCCATAAATGAATTTCAAACCTGAGTGCATTTTTAAGCCATTCTTACAGGTGATGATCAGGAAGAGAAGGGAGAGAAAAAGCAGATAGCAAACAACCCATACAACAGCCCATGCTGGAGCCCTCTGGTACTGAATCAAGCTTGTGTCAGCTCAGATGGGTGTTTTGGCATGAATTACTTTAAAGGTTTGCCAGTTTCTTTCTCTTGGTAGTAATCATGAAAAATACCAAGCAGGGCATCTGTCAGTGAGTAATTACAGGAAATACCAGCATTCTTCTGTGCAGCATGCACACGTCATCTCTGGAACAAGGTGCAAATCCAAGCCCATTTCCAGCAGTCCTGTTGGGATCTGTCAACCACCAGGACATCACAGCCAGACTCACTCAGCTTTGTGATAATGCTAGAAGGGAGGAAATTGCTTTGTAAATGTCAACTCTTCCTCTGAACATCTGCAAACAGACTGCAAAAGCTTTCAAGTCTCAGTTATATAAATTTAGTGCAATTTCTTAACAACACAAAGAACGTCTTGAGAGTGGAGCATGTTTCTTCATTACTGGACTTGCTCCCTTTCATGGTGCAAACCGTTTGCTCTGACAGACAGCAAAGAAGAGCTGTTAGTTCCTGAGAATGAATTGAATACAGTGCAGCAGATCAAACCCTTTGCAGTGCTCTGGAAGGTCAAGGGAGATTTGTGTCTCCTGTGCAAAACAAACAGTATTCACTAGACGACAGTCAAGGATGGCAATGTCTGGACCTGGATAGCTGAAGGATTTACAAGCACTGCTAAACAGAGCAGCAGGGAGCAGGACAGACAGACTCTGTGTGCCATCTGCCGGCAGCCAACCACAGCTTATGATGGGGGAGGAGAGTGCCAAGAGATTCTGGCATAGGAACCATGTGATAATAAGACCCCCAGTGCTTCACTGATTCTGTGAGGGCCTTCTCCTGCTTCCCCAGCTGGGCATTATCCTTTCTCAGATAGTAAACCCCAACATGGAATGCCATTCCCAAGGGCTAACACAACTGACACTTTGAAATGGAAGTGCTGCAGTAATATATGCATATAGGAAGGGGAGAAATTAGGAAGAAAGAAGTCAGTGGTGAAGTGATTCCTTCCCTGCTGAGAATTCCTTCCCTCTTGAGAAAGTGCTGTTCTCATGCACACACGTTTTATACCTTGTGAAAACAGCAATATCTGAGCTTACCTTGCAGCTGGCAAGGAAGGGGCCGAAATATTTGCTCTGTTTGAGAAGCACAACCTTGAAGCAAGGCAGAGAGACTGGATTAAAACAAAAGATCTTTTATTGTCTTCAACTGAAGAGCATGATACAGAGGAACTACACATAGGTTTCATTCATACAAAAAGAGAGCCCTTTATTTACACAAGTGTTCAAAGTCACCAATGGTACCTAACAACAACTCTGTGCTTTCCTTGTTTTCTTTTGTTAGTTATTCCCACCTAGATGGAGCAAGCGTTGGTCAGTAACACTGAGAAAAACGTGTAGAAGCTTTTGGGCAGGAAAAAAAAAAAAAAGAAATGTGTTCTAAAAGAAACCAAATCCATAAGGACATCTCACTGCAAGAAACCCAGCAGAATTCTTACAGCCAACCACTAACAAAAGGAACAGTTTTCAGTATGGGCTCAGCAGCCTGATCATTTTCAGCCTTTTACTTCCCCATGTAAGTACAGATACCCTGGACATGCACCAACTCAACAAGTATGAAAAAAAGGTAGAAATTTATTTAAAAGTAATTGTGCTTTTATTTAAAAAAGAAATTTACAATCAGACACTGTCCTGCTGTGTTCCCAAAAGCATTGTTCTCTTAAAAATGACAAAAACTTAGCTTATTATTATCATTATTATTATTACTTTGTCATTATATTAATAATATTAATTTTTTGCTTAAGTTTAAAAATGTACTGCTTTCCCTGCCCCCCTCCCCTTCCCTTCTTCTTTGTGGTACTTGATATATATATATAAAAAGGCTTTCCAACGACCAAAGGATTTCAATTATATCTAATAATAATAATAATGATAATTAATCATACACATTTCTGTGTACGATATGTAAAAAATATGGCTGGTTCTAAAACAAACTACCAATATACAAAGCTGTTCTCCCTCCCCTACCCTGGGCCACCCAAGAGATAGTCAGATCGTGGAAGAACTTCATCCCAGAGGCTGAGAAAAGAAAAATGAAGAAAACAGCATACAACCCTTGAGATCGTTGTCTTTGGCGTGAAGGACATCAGTGGTGGGCAGAGCTGGAGCTGCTCTGCTGGAATTGCTGGGACACATAAGGCTCGTTGTTTGGGCTGTTGTGCCAAGGGTTGCGATGCTTTGGTACGACTACCAGCTCCTCACCCCCATCACCCCAGTGATGCCAGAGATCCCCCCACGCCCCCCGTTCTCTGTCCCTCCCCACGTCGCCCCGCCTGTAGCCCTTTCACCATCCCAAGGCTTTATGCTCGCTTTCGTCTTCCTTCCAGATTTCGAAAGCTGGAGGGTCTCAGCTTCATCTCTGCAAACTGGATGGAGTATTCGTGGCCCTTCCAGTGGAACCAGTTAACACCCTGCAAAGACAAAGATGAAGCGTGAGAAGTCACACATCCACTTCAGTTCCTTCCCTGTTGTCAGCCTTTGTTTCAGCTTTTAGAATCACAGGATCATGAAGATTGGAAAAGACCTCTAAGATCACCAACCTCAACCCACCCCCACCATGCCCACTGACCACATCCCTCAGCACCACGTCTCCATGGTTCTGGAACAACTCCATGGATGGTGACTCCCCCACCTCCCTGGGCAGTCTGTGCCAATGCATTACCACTCTAACTTGGCAACAGAGACACAGCAAATCAAAGGGACTTTGGGAAGCACAGGTCTCTGGCCACTAGCACGCACAGCCTGTACAAAGTCATAAGCTGTTTCCCAGAGCTGTCACTTTTTGCCTGGCCTTCATAGCAGGAAGAGCGTTTTGTTTCACACTTGAAAACTACAGTTGTTCTCTGCAGACTTTTGAGATATCCATAGAAAGTCATACAAAACCATCAATACTTCTCCAGCTGACATGGCATTCTTGTTTTGTGAGCAGCTGTCCCTATCTTTTCCTATTATTCTTTCCTCTGGAGGGTGGGCTTGGCTGATGGGTTTCTGGCTAGCTGAACCACCAGACAGATAACTGCAATTCCTCTCCTTCTGACACATTATAAAAGCCTTCAGACACCAAACTCACCTGACTGTGGTTGTTGTCACCATATCTGCCCATCAGATTGACTCGGTGACAATTCTTGTACCAGAAAGCACCCTTGTATGACAAAGCACAGTTGGTGATAGCAGAATCATTGTCCTTGTCAAAAGTGGAGAAGGATCTTCCATTATGGTAGGTCATGGAGTCACCTGGATGGAAAGAGAAAAAGCAAAGTCAGTGAATTCTGTGATTTAGATTACATGGGAGTGATCATCCTGCACAAAATGTTTGGGCTGTACCATGCATCTGGTTGTGTATCTAAGCTTCTTCAGCATTGATTTGTTTTACTTCAGAAGAAAGCACACAATTTTTGTTTCAGAAGGCAACTCAAACCACTTTGTTCAGCAAAATTACAAATGTCATTGCAGAACTCTGCTGCATATTCCACTGAAGAGATGAGACCATGCCATGTTATTATTAGCTGCGTAAATGACAGCAGAGTATTGACCAAATGAGATATGTGGCTGCTTAGTATACTTGTTTATATTCTGTCCCAAGCATGCCATAAAAAGTGGCATCTAAATAACTGGAGGATTTAGAACGGAAACATAAAAGCCACTGATACGTTCATATTTTCAAACGCCTGACATCCAGAGAGAGGGACCCACTGTGATGCTCATCTTCAACGTGTACAGGCTGGAAGCTTGACTCAGCTGAGGGGAAATTGCAGAACAGAAGAAATACATATTTCAGCTCACCTGCTGTGCCACTGTAGCCATCCACCCTCAGCCGGTACCGGGTCTTGGCATCTCCAACGCTGAACCTGTCGTACACAGCGTAGGCTGTCTCACCTCTGTCTTTCAAATCCACACGCAGCTCGTACTGCCCCTGAGAGCTGATTTTATGGAGGTTCTCCAGACCTGTAGAAATACGAGAATGATCCATATGTCCTATAAAGGGTGTCAAACTGGCCTGGACAGATACCCCAGGACAAATACCCTGTGACAGTAACACCGGTTAGGAAGATAAGCTATTTGAAGCTGTGGGACAATGTCAGCACAAAATGAAAAAGAAATACTTTTAGAGACTAGCTCAGCCCTTCAAATCACAGCAGCATGGAGCACCTTGAGAAAAGTAACCAAAGCCAATGCTGCGTGACAGTCACTGTCTTCCATCTATGAGCAAATAAAATGTAGTCCAGCCTCTGCACATTTGCTTTTTACCCCATTTTACTTCATTAACTGTTGTGTTTTTCTTATTAGGGATATCCTAGGAGTACAGCAAGAAGAGCATTTGCAGCTGCATCTCAGGTTCTGACTTCTTACAGAGCACCAGTGAGCATCAGTTTGGTATATTTGTCACCCAAGAGATTTGACATTTATGAAAAGGACTGGGTTGGACCTGGCAGTCTCAGCCTCCCCTGCAGCTTGCTCCTCCTTTGCCTGGACTGTGTTCCCCTTTAAATGCCTTGTCACTTGAGCAGAGGCTTCAGAATGGCACCTTGTCTTTTGGGTTTTCTTTGCTTGTTTGGGCTTGCTAGAATAAGATAAATTCTTGCCACTTACCTATCCAGAATTCATCCTTAGGATCTCCAAAGCCAGCCACGTAATTCTTCCAGTTCCTGTAGAAATCTTCCTTTCCATTTTGGCGCCTCAGGAACACCTACAGCCCCAGCATGCAAGAAGAGTTACAGTCAAACTGCCTTAGCCAGAAGGAGTGCTAGCAATGCAGCTGTTGCCAATGCAGAGCTTGGCATTGCTGCTCCCCTGCCCCTATCACTCATGCAGCAGTCTCACTGCAGTTACTGAATCATACCAGGTTTGGTGAACACTCATTTTTTTTAAGTAAGTCTTCTCTATTCCATTCTCAGACTCCCACAGGTAATGTGGTCTTCTAGTTTCTATTCTCTGCATCTTTAAACTCTCCTTCCCATCTAAATTGAGTCAGACTCCCCTCCTTTCACCTTATTATCTGTTTTTAAGGTATCTAAGATGGTCATTTCAGCTTCTCCTCCATCCACTGATACTCCAGTAACAGAGCTCTATGAGCAGTGCTGAAGGAGAGCACGGATGCAACCTAACTTTGTTCTAGGTATATGCAGATACATTTCAGGGTGCCTTGGGCTCCCCTTTTTACTCACAATCCATCCACCTCCATCTTCAGCCATGTCACAGAAGACTTGCAGAGGCTGTGTCCTGTCTCCATTCAGATAAATAGTGTAGAGCCCAGAGGTGACCTCTCCATTCAGGAGAGCTTGGGAGCAGTCTTTAGGATAAGGATAAAGAAGACCAGCTGCACAAAAAAAGAAAATAGAAAACAGTCCTTGAGAGATCAGCAATTACAATTAACTTGTTGAACTCAAATGACTCATGGTGATCAACAGCATAGTCATGTGCTAAGCCCGGAAACTGGCTCGTAATTGCTATCATACACACACAAAAAATTACAATAAACATAAGATGACATGCATTTTTCTTTTGGGTAAGGTTTTGCACATCTGTCTACACTTTTGGGAGCACCGTAAATGCCATATAACTCCTCCCTGTTATGAGGGGAGTACATCTGCCAGCTCAATATTTAAATGGTGGAACCCCTGTCAGTTAGCCAGATGTCTCTTGAACACACAGAGATGAATCCTCCTATTTCTGGTGTCATCCTGCTTTACACAGGGACTGACTGGGAGCAGAATGGGGGCTGTGTGACTTCCACGAGTCCTTGGGCTGAAGTTGGTACAAGGGCAGTGGAGCAATGGAGATGGTTGAAAGTGCTGCTGGGTCCGTGAAAAGGGGGACAAATGATAGGCAAAGTTTTACAGTTAATACTAAGCAATATTATATTTTTCTTGCCATCAAAAGATGTGTCAGTGAGACCAGTGACTGCCAAATATGTCAGCTGAGAAGAACCCTTCAAAGAACCCAATCTACTCTGGAATTCAACTTACCACAGGGCTGTCCTATTAGAGCTGGAATGGACAGTACACAAACTGACCTCAGAAAGAGGACAAAAAAAAAACCTGTCCAGAAATTCAGCTCCAAAGACTCCTGAACAAATGTGTGTGTTTGGGTGTTGTTTGCTTCATTTCAATTTAAAAAGCTGATTTGTTCTAACTACTTGCTATACACCAAGATAAAAATTACTCAAGGGGTCAGCGTGGATTTAAGATGTGACATCCCATTCAGGATCTTACATGGGAAAGGTAGGATGTTTCATCAGAAAGAAGACTACAGAGATAGTGTGGCTGGATGTAAAGGAACAAAGGTCATCCTTCCAGTTTGGGGGAAGCAGATGATGCTACAGCTTCAGGAGAATGGGACTTTTGTACTTTCATCTGCTTACACACTCTAAGGTCCTTACTTGTGGTGAAAACGGTCTGGATCGTTTTGCTCCTCACAGATCTGCTCAGTGCCTGGAGTTTCACTGTGTATTGAGTGGATGGGCTCAGCTCTGTCAGGGTGTAAGAGGTCATCTCAGGGTCTAAGATGACTTCCTATGGGGATGATAAACAACACAAGGAGACCACAGTGAGAAAATCATACTAAGTGGAACTGTACCATAATTCAGTTTCTTTTTGTGGTGATTATGGTTGTATCTTTAACCATTTATATTATCTCATGCAAAATTTGTATTCCTCAAAGGTTTTTTTCCTGCTCGCTTTCTTCAGGAAAGTTGTATGGAGGTGAATGTTTCGTGCCATAGTCTGTAAGCTGTGTGGTTTAAAAGCAGGTCAGCACAAAAGTTTACACAATTTGGATATACACACTGCACAGATGACTGTGCAGCTCACAAAACAATTGAGCAAGATCATCCTTTAAGACAAATCTGGAAATTTCGTTCTCCAGACCTCAAAAAGCTTTTTTCTTGTGTGTGTGTGCAACTTTAAAGAACCGATTTTCAGCATGCTCAGGCAATCAGCTTCCCTGAAAATCAGAACCCTTTCTGGAGCATCTTTACTGTCCAGTTTTGAGGTACAGCCCTTCAGCTTTGGATACAAGTGCTCTACCTTGACTTTGCCATCAATGGACTCGTAGATCAGGAGGTAATCAGTGACAGGAGCACGCGGAGGCCTCCATGTTATCACAGCTGTTTCTGACTGAACCTCGGTAGCACTTAAATCTTTTGGAGCATCGAGTCCTGAAGGAGAGAGCAGAGAAATTACAATCACACACTGATACTGTTTAGCACAGAGGTTATAGGAAGATTATAGGAAGGAAGGTTATAGGAAAACACGCTTTCCCTCTGCAGAAATTGAAAATTAAAGAAGAAAAAAAAAGTTATCCTAAATTTTATGATTAAAAACATAGTATGAGTGCTTTCAAAATTCAAGTTCCTAGCAAAAAGCACACATGCTGGCTGAGGTGGTGGTCGTAGAGGAAAGTAAGCCTTGTGGGATCAAGGAGATGGCAGCCTGCCTCCTCTCCCAGCAAAGTGGGACACAGCACCTGTAGTGAACTGGGTGGAGAGGGTCTCGCTCTTCTGTACATCCTTCACAGCATGGACCCTCAGGGTGTATTCCGTCGCAGGTCGAAGGCCGTTCAGGTCATACTCCACTGTGTTTCCTGATACCATCTGTGTGACTTCTGGCTCTAAGAAGAAAAGACAGAAGAGGGAAGTCGTTCAGGCATGCCTTGGTATGCTCATCCGTGTGCTCCTCTAGGTGATGCTGGGTTAACAGCAGAGCCCTCTCTAAGAGTGTTAGCACTCTCTAGTGTTCTTAAGAGTTATAGCACCTTTTCAAGAAGTTCATGAGTTCAAAAGTATCTTTGTTCATGCCTGAATTAGGAAAGCATTAACTAAATTGGTGGTTTTTAACATGCTTCCAGCAAGGCGTCTCCATCAAGTGGCAACCACCCGCTCCCTTTTGGGCCTGTCCTCCTGGAATCACAGCTCCCTGACCCATCACGAACTCTTCTTACCATCCTCAGAAGAGTAGGAGACAACGTAATTATCCACAGCTGCAATTGCAGGCTGCCAGGTTGCCAGAGCCTCTGAGTCTGTAATGTTCATCACTACCAGTCCTGATGGGCTGTCCAGAGCTGGAAGAAACGATAACATGATGAAGGAATTTGGCAATTACTATCAGCTCTGTGCAACTCTCTGTTGTAACCATAGAATGTAAAATGTGCAAACATTACTGCTCAATGCAGCAGCTTTTATGGTTCCCTTTGGAATAGTGGAGCTCTGCAGAAAAAACGTCAGTGCCTATAAAGAGACATCAAATGCCTCCACTGGAGACGGGAGGTCAACGCGTGGAAAGATTAAACACTGGGAACAGACATAACTAACTGCATTCTCAGATCAGTCCTGATAACATCAATCTTAACAGCCCTGTCAGAGCTGACATATTTCTCTCAACACCCTCAAGTCTGGACTGCTTCTTGGAGTGAACTCAGGAGACAGAGCTTGGGAAAAATAACTAATGTGACGGCAATTGATAGCCACTGTGACCTTCCAACAGCTCGCCCTGCACTTATAAAAATAAACCAATGCAACAGCCAGCTAACCACCCAAACATCATGCCTTACTTCCTTGTGGGACTCTGCTTTGCACCTCCTTTTATGCTCTCCCTATGCTGGGAGAGATGCCTGTCCCCAGTATGGCTGGAACAGGCTATAAATTGCACTTTATTATCCAATCTACATCATCTTGTCCTTGCCACAGTTCTCTGAACACTTGTCAGAGTCCAAAAATAACGAACAAATGAGATTCATGGTGGCAAAAACATTTCCCGTGGAGACATTTAAAGGTATACTGTAAGAAAAAAAAACCAAGAGAGAACAAGAGAGAGGATGCTTTTGTGCTTAGGACACAGTTGTGAATTTGGGAGATGCGGAGAACACAACAGAAAGTGGGCCCAGTGAGCTGGTTCTTTGCTCCCACATCAGTAGAATGGTAGTAATTAAACTTCCTTTTGTTTCTGTATATTAGGATTGTAAACACATGGAGTGTCTGTGCCCCACTGCAAGTCAGCTCTGCTCTTGGCAGAGTGAGAGCCTGATCAAACCTGCAAGTTCTGCTCTCACCTGAAGTAGAAAGATACAAAGGAAAGAGGGGACAAGATTAAAGTCCTTCATTCCTGAGTCTGTTCTGTGATGCAGACAGTGTATATAGAAACCTGCTATTTATGTATTACCTGTTTTCAGAATTCCAGAGATGGGTTCGCTTTCTTCAAAGCCTTTCACAGAGATGATATTAACATTGTAGTCTACACCCGGGACTAACTTCACCAGCTTTGTCCTTGTCTTGCTTCCATCGACTGTAACAACATTGGGAGTGCCTAGGACAAATGTCAATGTCAATGGATTAATGGCAGTTCTCCATAAATGCTTGAAAGAAGTGTGTTTCAGGTTAAACACGTTATGATCAATGTGAATTCACATGTACAGGAGCTCAATTTTTCCCCAGTTTGTTAGAACCACTAATGGGAAAACAAACTGTGGCCACAACACCTGACTCTAAGACAATGGTTTCTATTTCTTTGCTATTGGCATGCCAACAGTAAGGAAAAGAATCAGTATTTCTGATATCATACTTCATACAAGAGATGAAAACAGCACTACCTGCATACAAGATAGGACTTTCTAGTTTAAAACTACTTGGCTTCTTGCAGAGGATGGACAAAGATAAACCAAGTCTGATGATGTTCTCCTTCACTCATCTCATTTTAAACAAAGACATACTGTACATTATTGTAAGTTGTGAAGATTTATGACATACTTCTTTCAAATTCCGGGTTTATTCCAGCAGAACACATGGGCAAATGCTTGATCATGACTGTAGGTCATTCCTTTTCTTTTGTGGGATCACTATACATGGACGTTTACATTGTCTAGAGACCTACATCTTTACCTGTCTTATTTAAAAGCACCTCTTTTATGATCCTGGCATATGCAGAGTTTGCTCAATAGTTGTTTCCTTCCAGAGATGTCCCTAAGTTATGCTAACAACGCACTGAAACAGGGATATAATACTGAAACCACAACGGGGATTACTAAGAAATATCACTACCTTTGAGAAGTCTGATAACCATGGCTTACAGTTGTTGTTCTGAGGGCCATCTCTCAGATACACTTTTCACTCTTCCCCTTTACCATCTCCCTCCACGTCCCCACACTCACCGCCTGTGACGGGGACATAGGAGACCCTGTAGCTCTCCACGCGGCTGCGGGGGGGGGTCCAGCTGACTGTAGCAGAGTTTTCTGTGATGTCTGAGAAGGAGATTCCCTTGGGAGATCCCACAACTGTCGGTGGAGAAGAGAGGACAAACACACCACAGAGAGAGAAAAGGTCAATAATTTGTTTGCCAGCCCTTGGTGCTGTGTCTTGTATTACTCCTGCGTGCCAGGAGTGATGCTATCAGTACTCTACAAAGCAACATGGATGCGGGCAGTACCACCTAATGGTTTTATCACACACTGAGAGCAATAATCTACTCGGTCTTAATTTTCCATTTTCAGTAATATTACAGTACTTTCTAATTTAAAAGTGCCACAGATTGTCCACAAAATAACAGAGATTTCAGTATATAGAGAGCAACACTTACAGGAGTACTATTTAATTACCACTGTACTTATCTGTTTTTCTAACCTAGTTTCACTTGGATGATTCTTAGTCTTTATGTTGAGTTTTGGAGCCCTGTTTGTGACACACAACAACCCTTAGCAATGCAGAGATGCCTCTCCTTGAGCATAAACCTTCTACCGTAGGATGCCTAAATGAGACCCAGGCTCATTTCCCCCCGTAAGAACCATCCTCTCAAGCACTGCCTGCCTGTAACTTCTGTTGGCTGAACCCTACAATATTAGGTTTTCTTCTTGGAAATACTATCAGAGACCATGATTTTTTTCTAGGTAATAGGAAAGGCACTTGTGGTATCACCGCAGCTTTCTGCCATACAGCCCAGCCTTACCCTGTCCAAACCTGAGCACGACATTTCCCTGTATAAAATAAGACTGGTGAGCTGGGACACACTCATTGGTACAACCTCGTTGTTTAGCCTTGCAAACAAAGTCCAACGAGTGTTACCAAAATGACCCAATCTGAAGATGCAAACCAACGTGTGCCGCAATCTGAAGCATTCTACTTTAAAGTTTAAGTAAGCTACTGCAAAACATGATTGTAAGGGCTTCTGAAAGGACATGGTGAAGGAATCTGCAACTTCTAAGTTTACACTCAGCATCTCACTTCCAATTTGCTTTTTTGACTGTAACCAAAACAACGCTGAAATGTGAAAAGAAACAAACAGCCCACACATACTGACTTAGTCATTAGCACAAAGGCGACAGATCCCAAACATAAACCACATAAAGAGTGGTGGAAACAAGCTGTGGGCAAGGGGAAGGTGGCAAAAGAAGGAAAAAAAAGTGACTGTGCTTGGAATAGATTGGAAAGAACGTGTCTGCGGGAAAGAAGTCAAAGAGGGCTGTTTGTTCTGTGTGTCCCCAAAGCTCCAGCAGCAATGCACTAAATCAATCCAAAGTCAAGGAAGGAAAAACAACTGAGCCCTCAAGAGAAATGTAAATCATTTCTCACAAGGCATTTTGGGCTTGGGAGGCTTGATCACATGGAAAAGCCAGAGAAAGAAAGAGTAGAGAAGGAAGAAAGCAAGGGAGGGTTAGCAAAGCTACGTGACCTAAACCGGCTACTCAATCTAAATTGTGATGGATAACTTCATGGACCACAGCCCTCTTTGGTCCAGCATTCAGGGGTTTCATACACACAGATACTTCAGCCTTACCCAGAAAATAAGCACCTAACCGTGTCATTTGAATTCATACATGTTTGCCGTACCAGGTAAACTGCTGCATAGCAAATAACAGTACAAAAAGCCTTAACTGCATAAGACATTCACATCCCATTACCCCAACTGCATCTGCTTTCCCAGGAGCAAACATAGCAAACAAAGCATGCAGGACCCTCCTGGGAAGCACCAGTCTTTGAATGAGTACCAGAAAGGTAACAGAGTGGTTCCTTTGAGCACAGGGAAATGAAACAGCAGCAAGTGATACCATCTTGAGCCACCTGAAAGCCAGAATTAAGCAGGCATAAAAAAAAGCAGGCCAGGGTGCTTCTGTTTTTTTATGACAAAAAAACTCAGTGCAGCTGTTGGACAGACACAGATCATCAGCATTATCCTCCAGCACCACTCCTCATTAGCTCTACCTGAGATTGAGGATTGCCTGTGAGGTCCATGATACTTACAGAGCTCTGATTATTGTTGGGTTTTTTTGTTTTTTTTTGGTTTTTTTTTGCTACATATGTTCTTTCCTCACTAACAGACTACACGAATATGTTCACTGGCTTTCTTCTACTAAGAATCAGGAAGCATCAGACTATATTTGTCACATATAAAGAGCATTTTGGGATCCTCTCAGATGAAAAATCCCATCAGAATGTGGCAAAACACCACTTAAAGAAGAGGAAATTAGCAGCATGAGTCCCACACTTCCTACCAAGGATATTAACTGGCACACAGCCACCAGTCCCCTGCTGAGGGCTGAACTGCATCTCCACAGATATTGTACAGAAGAATCTCCAAGAGACACTTCCTCCGAGAGCAGCAGTGTGCAAACTCATTCTTGCCAACTGGATCAGGCACTGAAGCTCTGTGCAATGCTGCCTTGCTATGCAGTGATCTTATGGTTAATGTCCTCTATCCCAGTAGAATTGGTGAAAGTAAGAAAGGAAACCACAGAGGAGGACAGTGCACCCAGTGGTGAACACGCAAGGTCTCTCCTCCCTCTCCTTCCTTCCCGTGGGTGGATGGCTTCGCATGCAGAGATACGAGGTCAGACCTCTAGAGAGGGTTGCTTAGTGATGCTTAAAGCAGATGTCTTCAACTGCACTGATTTACACCAGTAGCAGACCTGATCCCTGATGACTGCATATGTTTACACAAGGGTATGTGCTCATGTAGGGAAGAAGGGAGAAGTGTGAGTGATAAATACAGAGTGGGATTTTCAATCCTTTCAGCTTTCATTTTCATGACCTCATTTCCATGGTAATGTTTGGGTTAGGTTTGCTGGCCTGTTTGCTGGCAGTCTTTGTTCCTAGCAGGATTTTTCTGATTTTTCTGCTTCCTTTACTAAGGCTGAAGGCATTCTGATATTTATTTCTTGCTCGCTCAAACACTGTACACAGGCTAGAATAAGGCAAGGCTGCACACAAACCTGTCCAAGCCACCCATTGCAGAGGTAGCAAATGTTACTTAGCCATTAAGCTGGATTTGTTATAAATATTCACGTTTCTCCAAATAGCCAACTCCTAAATAAGAAACTAGTTAGATGCCTTGGTGGCCCCAGCTATCTGATGCAGTGTAACATGCAGCTTGAGTTATTTAGCTGGATTTTTGTGGCTCCAACTCCATTCTCAATTATCCATGGGCTATTTGCAGCTGAAAAACATCTTTGGGGCTACTGGCGCCATGAGGTGACATGTGCTAAATCTCCCTGAAAGGACCAAATTAGAATGTAGTCATGAGGAAAATGATAACAGTTAGTGGTTTACCATAAATATCCTGAAGTCAGTGAAAATGGGGACATGCTGCTAATAAGTGCAGTTGACTTCAAGCATCCTTCTCCATTATGAGACAGCCCACATGAGCCCAGAGAAAGGTGCTCTGAAATGGATGCATGTAAATGTCTGGGTGAGTGGGTATGTGTTTATTCAAGGGCTGTGATGGCAGATAGTGGAGCTGCTCAGAAATGTGCCTTTCCATGCTAACAACTGCCACCGCAGACATTGAGGTGAGTTGTAAGGTCATGCTATTTTAGGGCAAGCTGTTTCACAATGAGTTATTGTTGGTCCTTTGCTGTGGATTATAGCTGGACACAAAATTTTTTACACACTTCTGTTGGCTTCTTCTTGCACTGAACTCAACCATCCTCTTCTCATTCCCCTCCTCCTAGAATTAGGTTGATATGAAGTCACTGTATTTTCAAATCAGTAAGCCCCACGTTTTTTAAAGAGAGAATTTGGATCTAAGAGCATTGCTTCATTTTTTTCACATTTAAATATTTCAAAATGACATCATGATACTGATGGAGAAAAAAAAAAGTTCAATTCAAAAGTGTCCAAATGAAATGCTTCAAGTTGTGAACCCATTCTTCATTTAAGTTAATCTGAAGAATTCAACCTAAGCCTTAAGAACTTTTTACATGACCAGAATCTGCATATTTTCATGCAAAAACAATATGAACAATCGAAACTTGGGTAGGTGACATGCAGGAGACAGTTTGAAGGTCTCAGTAACCTCTCAGACCACCTAGGAAAAGGAGAAATGTTAACAGAATTAGGCATGAACACATTTTTCCTACCACAAAGACAATACCTGTGGTTGCTACTGAGTTTATGGGTTGGGAGCGCCGTCCACTGCTAACTCCATAGAGCTCAATTTCATACTCAGTGCCCTCTTTCAGCCCTGTTATATCGTGGGTGCGCTCATGGCCTGGTACTATGAGTTCCAGTGGATCAGATTTCCTTTTGGTATCCCTGATTTTTAGAACAAAACTGTCGAAAACCCCATCATCTGCAGTCCAGGACAGACGGAAGCCGTCTGGGGTAGCATCTGAAACCAGAAGGTTGTCGACCTCGGGTTCTGCCTCTAAAAAAGGAGAAGATAGCAGTAGGGGAAAAAAAAGTGATTGTTTGAATCAGTTCATTAGTGACCTTCCTGAGGTCTGGCTATAGCATACTGCAAGCATCCAACCACAGTTCAAAGAAAGGGAAAGAATCTGCTGGCTAGTGAAAACAAATAAAAAAAAAGAACATTAGCATTTTACACATACCAAAGAATATATATGAGGGTGTGTGTGGGCTCATTCAAACTTTTCACTCTATCATAAGTCCACTACATGGAAATACATCATTTGCCTCTGCCATGCAAAATTACACATGCTGATAGTAAGTTGGAAGTGCACCGGTCCCTTACTTTCCATTGAGTTACCCATCGCATGTGAAACCTTTAGACATGATAAAAACAAGCTCTTGTTATATAGATCTGCAGGCATGCCTGTAACATGGTCAGGTCTCTGTCTGTTAGGAAGACAGCATAGAAGTTTCTTGAAAGAGTCTTTTTCTTCATGCAAAACCCTTATTCCATGCACTTCTGGCCTCTGTGATGCTTTAGATCAGAAGAACCCTTCACTTTGATGTAAAACAAATGCTGAAGCAGCAATGGGGAATCATGAAAATTCATACATTTAAATGCAATGTGCAAGACCTGCTGTCCTTGGTGAACAAACCCACTCAAGAGGATCCCAGGAGCTGTAAGTTATTAAACAACCACAAAACACCTTCAGCTCAGTATGGTCAAGCATCTCTACCAACAGAAATGCTGTCGGAGTGCTTACTGTCTTAGAGCATCTCCAATGCACTTTTATCTTCCAGAGGAAGATGTTCCTATTTATTTTCTCAGCAACCTGCAGTCAGGTTTACTGCTGCATCGTCAGCAACATGGAGATGAGACTTGAGGGTTACAGGGCTAGAGAATCAGTCTGCAACAACTTTTCAAGAAAATTATTCAAATGCTGCTGGAAGACAGCAGTTATGATGAGGCTGAGAACACGAGCTAAGGTTTTGTGGAAAGAGATGCCAACGTTACGGTTGGCAGTGACCACACTGTGTTCTGTGTGTGGAACACAGAGAGAGTGAAAGAAACGAGGCCATAGGCAGGAAAACCAGGATGATTTCCTCCTGAAGATCCCGACGGTTGGCGAGTTGGAGAATGCTGAGGTGCCCAGCAGCTGTTAACAAGACGAGCTCCCGCATGCAGCTATTTCTCTTGAAAGACTCCAGTTAGAAGTACCTGCATGAACATAGCAGAAATTTTCACCCCTCAACCCACGTCATGCGTCTCTACAGGATCCCTCTCAAAGAGAAAAAGGAAACATCAAGTTAAAAGGAATAGAATTTCACTGGTGAACCGATCAACCACGAGGAGTTATGTGTAGCCACGATGCAGAAAGGGATGCAAAAGCCAAGGTTTGTTTTGCAAATGGATTGCATGAACCAACTTCCGTGTGAGAAGAAAAGCAAGAAAGAAAAAAAGTGGAAGAGAACAATTTGTTCACATTCAAATACCTGTAACAGCCACAGTGCTTAGGGGCTTTGTTTGGTGCCCCTTGGCAAAACCATAAAGCATAACCTCATAGCCAATGCCAGTTATAAGGCCTTTAAGCTTCAGTTGCCGCTGGGCTCCCGTAAGGAGGAACTCCTGTGGGTCCAGCAGCTTGCCAGAGTCCACCACGACTACAAGAAAGCTGTCGAAGGCATTCTCCGATGCCATCCACGACACTGTGAACCCATAAGGGTTAATATCAGAGACAGTTAGGTTTTCCAGTGGGGGCATGGCCTCTAAAAGAAGGGAAGGTGCAAAAACACACACAAAAAAAGAAGCAAAAAAAAAAAAAAATTGCGAATTAGAAAACGTCACAGATTCCACCAGACATAAATCACAACTTTTTTCCCCCAAAATGTGGCATTAATTGAAGTGTATAGCCCAGATCACAAGACCAGGATTTTCAATGGAGCCTCCAAAAGTTAAATGTTCAATTCTTAATTTTCCTTTAGCGCATCTTAACACCTCATCTCACAAGCTCCTTTGAAATTCCTTCAAAACTCAACGGGTAAGCACATTACTCTTGTTGCACATGCACTAGAAGGCAGATATAACCAAAACAGTTTTAAAACTGTTATGCACAAAGCTTTCATTTCCTTTCAGTTGCCTCCACCACGGCTGCTTTAGGGACAAGTCTCAACCTTGACATTCACAGTTCCTATATCTTGCATTCCTTTCTCTCTACCTCACATGAGTATCTCAGCCTGTTCTTCCAGCAGTGGAAGGTCAGCGATGCCAGCAGGGCTGTGAGAAGCAGGACATCCATCAGCCAGGCCACAGCCAGTGCAAGGACTAAACATTTGCAAAATTGCTTTTGTGGGCAACAGGAGAGAAGCAAGAATTTGCACCAGCTAAGGGCAGGGGCTAATGATCACAGAACAGAGCAATAACCTGTTCAAAGAGCTTCACAGGCAGCTGCTAATGTAGCATGTTGACAGCTTAAAGAAATTCCAGTGAGGGGTCTTTTTTTTTTTTTTTTCTTTTACATCAGCTATAATCAGTTTGTATCCGTTTGTCAAAGTTCAGAGCTGTGGACCAATTTCTCAAAACTTTCCCACTGTGTCTCTCAGACAAAAAGGCCAAATTTTCACACGACAGTCAAGCTCACACAAAATCTGATGAGTCAAACAGGGAGATCAGCTGGCTCTGCTACGCCCCGGCCTTGACACAGCATCCCAGGCATTGCTAGAATTCTCTAAACAATTTGACAAACCACATTGTGTTGGCCTAGGAATTAACTCATCCAGTCTTCCATTGCTCAAATTCCAATCACTTAAGAGGAGAAGTCAGTTAAATGCAGAATTTTCTTTGGCTAACAGTTTTAGGTTTGTTTTTTGACTTTTCACAGCTGATGACATTGACACTCTGTTTGAGTATCTCTGGGATAGGTGTGGAGTGACACCAGTATATTAAACCCAGGAGGTTTCTGCAAACTGTTGGCACATCCAACTGTGGTGTGGGGTGCCACGTGTTTACCTTGTTGTGGGAAGCTTCCTCTCAAAACGCTAATGCCCATGGTTTGGTTTTAAAACAGAAGAGTTTTGGAAACAAACACTTCCTGACTTGTAACAACATTCATTAGGTGGCAGGCCAAAGCTGGTGCAAAATGCAATTATGTTCCCTAAGGGAAGGGATCGTGGTCACTGATTTTCTTAGAAAGTGCTGGCCCCAATGCTTCGAGGGATGCTGCTCCTTCAAGGAGTGCTCCCACTGTGCATTAGTGCGGTGAGGAGGAAAAAGAAAAGGCCTCAATTTCTGCTTTAATCCTATTTAGACTTCCATAGGTCTGTGTGACAAGTCCTAGCAGTGCACACTGGCCATGTCATACACAGAATGTGAACACTGTAGTATTTACTTGACTATATCAGCATGTGATGTTCACTAATCCCAGATAAAATCTGGCCAAATTATTCATACATAGATGAGTTCATAGATGAGTTCACAGAATGGCCTGGGTTGAAAAGGACCACAATGATCATCTAGTTTCAATCCCCTGCTATGTGCAGGGTCACCAACCACCAGAGCAGGCTGCCCAGAGCCACATCCAGCCTGGCCCTGAATGCCTCCAAGGATGTACAGGTGTAAGATGTATAGGTGTAGGGATATATAATGGATGTATAGTTGGAAGTACTGACAAATTTCTCCCTTAATTACTGGGAGTTAGGAAAGATCATAAGACATGAGAAAAAGACTCCAGAGAGCTCTTGAATAACTTTAAACTATTACTCCTCCTAAAATTTTTTTAAGGTCAACATGCCTGCTGCAACCCATGCTTGCGCTAAGCTTCAAATAAAAGCATCAGTGCTGGATACTCAGTGCTGTAGCCCACACTTCTATCCATGCGGGAATATATATATATACACATATATATGTATATATGTATATTATCAACTGATAAACATACTCCAAACCTTTTGGCAGGTACCTGTCATGACAAAAGCAGTGAGGGGCTCTGTGTGAACACCTGCATCGGTGGTGCCCTTAATGTTAATGTCATAGCCAGTGTAATCTAGCAGGCCTGAGATGTGAGCGCTGCGAGCACCTCCCGACACCGTAAGCTCCTGGGGTTCGTGTGCTGCATAGGAATCTCTAACATGTATGATAAACTTGGCAAAAGGCCCATCTCTTGTGGTCCACGAGAGGTTGAAGCTGTCGGGGGTGACATTTGTGAGTGTGAGCGTGCCCAGCTGTGGCTCAGCTTCTGAAGGAGAAAGGAACACAGGTGAAGACAGAGCATTACTTTGGGGTGGGGGGAAGAATTAGCCATGGGGGGGTGGGAGGGGTTAGAGATACTTAAAGCTAAAGCTGAAGGGGTTAGCCTTCTTTTGCAGTCGTTGAGGAAAGGAAGAGCAGCGTAACAACTATTTTGTAAGGTTTTGGAAAGAAGCCAGTGAAATTAGTGCTGATTTTTAATTATTTTTCCATTCAGTGTTCTTAAATGCTCAAAAATTTCTTCCTGAAATGTGGGCTTGATTTACTGAAGCATCAACAGCAAACAGCCCCATGATACAACCACAGAAACTGCAGTAACTGAGCACTGGAAATTTAACAGGAATACCCAGACTCACAGCAATTCTGAAGTAGGATTCAGGCAGAAATTAGGATCAGAACAGATGTCCTTGAATACTGACTTCAGCTTAGCGTTGCTGTTGCCTGGCATTGTAGATACTCATATTTTTGGACCCAGAAGTTTATTGGGGTTTTAGTCCTAGCAGTGATCATCTCAGCACTAATCTCAGGCCAAAACCTCTCTGGACTCAATGGCTAAGGTGTTCCTTGTCCCCTGATTAGGCACAATCAAAGAACATCTAATGGACTGGACAAAAACAACCAAGCAATGCTATTGCTCTTCCTCTTTCTGACTATTCAGAAACTTGGCCTTCATGCTATAGAAGGGGTATCATTCCTACTTTAATCTATTCTGTTTAATGTAAAATCACTGAGGATTCATTAGAGCCCAAAAAGGCCACAAACACGACCCTGCAGTCAGGTGGCCTGGGAATCCCGTCTGCTCTGAATTTCTCGTTTTCTCTTGCCAATTGAACCAAGAACACCTTGGGAAATGCAGCCAGTATGATACCAGGGAATAACTGTAGAAGTGATACATGCTGGGAGAAAAGCAAGAAGGATGTATCAAACTGACCAAGAAGAGTGAAAGAATTAAATTCTTTTGTTATCTAAAACAAGAACTGCTGCAAGATGTTCCAACTTTTACCAGCTGTCCCCAATTGCTTTTAATTAATAGTCGACCTCCCTCAATGGAAAAGTCTTGGAAGAGGTGAATCCAAGTGGCCCCGATTAAGGACACATGCCACTGTCATGCTGCCAATCAATGCCTTCATGGCTGACAGTGAAACATCACCATGTAAGCATAATACCTCTGAAGATGGGAGGAGATGAGAAAATATCCACAATGCAGACAGGATTGAGTGGAGAACCCAGTGAGACCGAGCATGGAGCCACCAGCCCCGCATGCAGCTCAGAGGTGACAAAACCAATCCTTTCCAGTCTGGTTCTGACATGGCTGCATTCCTTCACATGCCATTTGCATCCAGTCAGGCAGGCTCATGACATGACACCCAGACTCCAAAGAGTACTACATGCAAAACGAGTTGGAATTCTCTCTTCAGGAGAGTTTCGGTAAGCTCTTAGAATCACCATCACCACAGGAAAAGCTCTGACTCATGGCGAAACCCAGCAGGTCTCAAGGACTAAAAGACAGCAATACAAGTAGCAGTGTGGTGGGCTGACCATCAAGAAAGGGTGGACTTCCTATGTAAGCCCAGTTTTCTGCTGGGAATGCTTAAAAATGCCAGGCAGAGAAGAATGCCAGAACTAGCAGAAGGTGGCTAGACCACTCCATGCAATTTTGGCTGGTCATTGAGCATGCTGCACAAAACTCCCACAAGAGATGCAAATGTCTTGGATGACATTTGGTTTTAAGAACAAAGAACCAAAATGACATGCAAGTGCCACTCTGGCTGACAAAGCTACAAAGCCCTCCCACCCACAAGGAAGCAAGTGAGGATGGGATGAACAGGCACATCGCTCAGATCAAGTGAAAAGATATTCTGTGAAAAACATCAACCATCTGGAGCATGTCAGCTATATATACACAGCACTTGCTGATAAGTGTATATATAATGAAACCAATCGTGGTTTACAACTGGCTCCCTTAATGCTGGGGGCACTTTTCCAGCCTTTTCCATTGTCCCAGATATCTCTCTTTCCAAGCACCCACAAGGTCAGTTCATTTCAACCTCCCCTCATGGTGATGTTCCTATACTTTATCAAAGTATGAAGTATAAGGATGATGAGTTGGAGCCACGTTTCAGAGCAGTTTGGTGGACAGAAAAAGAAAGAAGAGAAAAAAGCAAACCTAGAAGTCGAAACAGTGAAATACCTGTGGTTGCCAGTGCTGTCAAGGTCTGACCACCTTGCCCATCAACTACACCATGGAGCTGGACAGTGTAATTAGTGGCAGCTTTGAGGCCGGTGACTACATAGTGCCGGGAAGCCCCTGGCACTATTTGCACCAGTGAGTCCAAAGGGGAGTCAGAGTTTCTGACTTCTAGAATAAAATGGTCAAAGGCATTGTCCTGTGCTTCCCACATGAGCAACATGGAGTCTGAGGTAGCATTTGATACAGTGAGTTTGCTAAGGAGAGGTTCCTCTACTATGGGAAGAAAAACAAATGGAAATGCGTTGCAATTATTAAAACCCAAAGCAATAAAATAAAACAAAAGTTTGAATTCACATGAGCCACAGGTCACAAAGACCATCTAGCCATATACTTCTTGATGTTCTCCATACCATAACCTCAGTGCTCACTTTGCCATGATTCAATGAGGAGATTCACAATCTACTGATGCTAGAAAATGCAACTCTGCATTATCTTGACAAACTGATATTTGATATTAAACTTGATGTCATTGACTACCTTAATCTCCTGCTATAACAAATAACTATGACAACTTTTCCAGAGATCATGTCAGCAGGAAAAAATTGGTAGAGGTGTTAAATGATCACAACATGGGCTGTTATCTGTCTGCTGTGAGAAGCACCTTCTGCTTCTGTAACCTAGTCCTCTCATCCTCTCTTATTCCACTTCCATGCTATAATTGGCCAAAGCACATTTGACACTTCCTTCTCTTTGAGAGCCTTTTTTGGACACACTATCAACAGTAAAACCTCAGGACATGCGATGTGCCAACAGCTAAATGCCTACCTATTTCCTTTATCAACATCAAATCAAAACTGAAGTCTGAAGCTGAATTCAAGCAATCTATTGTCCTTGTAGGAATCTGCTGACAGACTGAAATTTGCCTGAAACCCATTTAGGATAAAAACTGTATCTATAAATTGGCTTATCTGAAAGAAGGAGTGTGTCCTCAATGCTGCACAGCACATACTGCAAAGCTATCATAATGAATCATCTCCCACTTGCTTCTTGGGAAATTTGTTTTGCTTCTCATCGGTCTCAGAGATTGTCCCTACCCTAATGTTTGAACAAGAGCTAACGCATCATTATGTGAATGAAATTGCATCACACTGTGATTGACTGACTTTGCTGGATGGGACGGTGGCTTAACATTCACAGCTCAAAATGTCTGCGGCAGATCTTCTTTAGAAGGTGTCAAACAGTGAGGTAGAGAATTTGGCAGTGGGCAGACTGATGGGGTATCTGAGGGCAGGGAAATGGGCACAACCTGCAAGGAAGAGTTAGAAGAAAGGAGAGTTAGCACTGAGGTAGGTTTTATATACCTGTTGTAGCCGCAGCACTTATTGCCTGTGTGCGGAAACCATGAGAGATCCCATAGAGGTAGACAATAAAATCAGTGCTGGGGGAAAGCCCTGAGATATGAGCTGTTCTTGAATTGCCTGAGACGTTGAACTCCATGGGCTCCAGCAACCTGTTAGAATCAATAATTTCAATAGTAAAGACGTCAAAGTCCCCATTGGTGGTCGTCCAAGAAAGGTTGAAGCTTTCAGGAGTAATGTCGGAAACGGTTAGCTCACCAACTTCGGGGTGTGCTCCTGAGGAGGGAAACAACATCGGTCAGAAGTGACAGCCCCGTACCCCAACCTGCTCAGAAATGATCTGCTTCGCTCTGCTCATGCTGACAGCACTCCAAGCTGCCCTTGGAGAAAAGAGTTTAAGTAAAAGCTTGCTACAGGCAAAATAGTTCTTAAAAGGGAAGAAATGAAATGACAGCAACTCAAAATGCTAAAAAAGAGGAAAAAGAGACGGAAAAAAAAAAAAAAAGAAAGGAAAAAAGGAAGGTTAAAAGCTTTAGCTATTTCCTTTTGCAGCCATGCATCTTTGAGGTCTGAGCACGAAAGAAATCCCAAAAGAACATTTCCAAGCACCCCAGGGCACTTGGAGAAGTCAGCTTCCAGTTTTAGGAGAAGCTAAAACCAGAGGAAAAGCTGTATCCAGAGGAAAAGGTTGTGTTTTGTTTTAGTTCTTCTGGTTTCCCTTTCAGCTTAAGTTTATGAAAGCTGGCATGTAATTTGGGATCTGGAGCCAAAATGCAAAGCAGTGATAGCTGCCTTGGGGTTTCTTCCTCTCTGCAGACATCCCTGACATGCTCCAGGAAGGCTCAGAAAATTCTGACAATTGAAAGTCCCCAGAAGGGAAAATTCTGAAAAGCCGGATGCCGAGGATGACCCAGAAATGGAAGGGAAAACCTCAGCAGGGAATCTTCAGCTGTTTTCATAATGTCAATAAAGGGAGAGTCTGGGCAGGACACCCATGATGTCTGTTTTCTTGTTTGTTCCTCTACAGCTTCTTTTGCCTTGCCACATTTGTCTATTTTCAATGGGCAATCTGCTACCAGACCCTCAAAGCACAGCACTCCCAGACTGCAGCAGGATGCAGCCCAAGGCAAGTGCCCTGTGCCACACGCATTTCTACTGAAGCCAAGCCACTCAAAGCACTACTGAAACAGGCAAGCTCTGCTGAGTATAATGCTTTCATTTTGTTTTTTTTCTTACATGTACTTTTATCCCCTTCTGTGCTGGGCAATATGTGCTTGGGAAAAGTACATCTGAGCAAGCTCTGGCCGTCCCACAGTGGCAGGAGGTTGCAAGGTCTGTAAGGAAGCCCAGAGGAATCATCCAGAGGAAGAGCCGCTGGTTCCCCTCTATTGCCAATTCGTATCCTGCTCATTACAGAGATGCTAACACCTGAAAGATTCACAGAGCCACATAGGGCGGACATTTCTATTTGTTTCTCACAGTAGAAGCTCATGATAAGCAAACCTTTATCCAAAGTGCAGCATTTCACAAGATCAGCCACAAAATTATGTTTGTGGCTCTTGATTAGTCTCACTCAAACTTCTGATGACGTGAGGCTTACCCTCCTTCTTTCAGCTCACTGTTATTTTGGTTAAATGTGGCCTTTTTGCACTGTATCTTCCTCAGAACAATCTGACTGTTTAAACTTCATGTGGCTCAATATATTCTTGGTAGAAATTTACTCGTGTTCTTCTCCATATGAGAACACATGGAAGGGCCTTGGCCTTGAGTCAGACCATGCCCTCCATGTTGTATTTATGCAGAAGCTAGTGTGTAATTTCAGAAATAGCTTCTGAAAGGCAGAACTCAAACATGCCCTTGGGTTTTGCTTAGTTGGGCTACAAATGTAATTTCACAAGGCAACCTGGACTTTCCTGAGCATGTGCAACAGCCAGTTGGGTTTTGCAGTTAGCGTCAGCTAGCAGAAAAGTGAATAAAGGAAACAAAACAAGCCATTCTGAGAGGGGTAAAAAGAGCATTCCTGAAAGCAAAATGTCTCCATGGGGGCACAGAGACTCTTATTGGAAAGTCTGATCATGAGACATTTCCACGCCAGAGATGTTCAGCCAAGCTTTAATGAGTTCAGTGCACCCATGCAAAGCAGACCGAGTGAACAAGCTTTGTCAAGCAGTTGCAATAGCTCTGGCTCGTGTCCCTGTCTGCAATGAAAGGGAGCTGTTAGGCTGGATGAAAAGATACCTGTGGTGGTTTCAACATAAAGGGGTTTGGTTCTGTAGCCTCGAATCACACCGTAAAGTGTGACGTTATAAGGTGTGTTGGCCTTGAGGCCTGTAATGTTCACAGAGTGCTGTCCGCTGGGGACTGTCACGTTCCAGGTCTCTTCTGGATTGTCAGACTCCTGCACCTGAATGACAAAGTTCTCGTAGGCCCCGTCGGCTGCTGTCCAGGTGAGCTGGAAACCATCCCAGCCAGTCTCTGACACTGATAAGTTTCCAAGCTCAGGTTCTTCCTCTGAATAAGGACAGAGAGTCAGTCAGTTACTCAGATTACAGACCGGTGGCAATGCGGTATTACTTAATGACTTTCAGTTAATGAATTTCATTTGGAAGCGAGTGGCACAGAGATGCACCCCCACGCACATTTACATTCCCAGCTGCCCCAGGTAACTCATAAAGTCTCCTCGGAGACTTGGCAAGACAGAACAGTAAGAAAAGAACCATAATAATAAATAATAATTGCATTAATGCTGAAAGACTGCTCACAGAAAGCAGTTTATAGACCATCTTACAGATGGTTGTATTTTGCTAATATTAATTACAACTCCCTGTGATACAAGTATTACCATAACCACTTTAGTGCAGCTATTAAGAGTTTGGCATTTGCCATTATGAAGTGACTGTGAATACTGCAGTAATGCCTATTGTAAAGCTAGCAAGGCTCTGAACTTCTCGTACTTGGGATTCAGATGGTTATGCTTTTAATTGAAAGATGTTATTTATTCTTCCAAACTATTTCTAATCCAAAACAGCAAAGAAGGGAAAATCTCTTTATGTCTGTACGTCTTCAATTTAAAAGACCTATCTTCATTATATTACATTATTCTGCCACCAAAGCCTTCCCAGAGGCAGAGAAGCTTGGATTTTCAGAGATATTGATACTAATCTAAAATTGAAATCTGCCTTTGCAGAAATCAACATTCTCATATGCCATCACAAGTGTGGCTTAGGAAACTTGGAGCCATCAGAGCTAACTCTCAGCTGTTGTTAAATCTGAAAATTTAGGTCTTTTTAACAGCAAGAGAAGCAAGTCTTCCAGTGCTGAGACAATACAACTGACTCCTCAAAATTAGCAGATTCATAGGAAAATATCACAGTAATATATATTTTTTTTCCTACATGGAAAATCTCAGAATCACAGAATATCCTGAGTTGGAAGGGGCCCACAAGGATCACTGAGTTCAACTCCTGGACTTGCTACGTGATCAACCATTGGCACTTCCAGCATTTTTAATGTTTATTTGCATTGTTGACACATCAGCATTATAATAGGAACAAAGTCTAGCTAAATAACCTCAATCTGCATTCCTGAGTATTTGTAAGAAATGATGCACAGAGGGAAATGGATCTGATGTTTCTTTTCTAAACTTCCATCGTAAAGCCTTGCATATATTTTGAGTTGATGCATAAGGGAGTGCTGAAATAAATGAGAATTAGGCTTAATTTTATTCATATAAATCTCCCTGTAAAAACATAAAGCCTATTCTGTGACTCTCACATAGCTTTACATAGGCAGGTGGAGCTGTATTTTCAGACAGTTTCATGGATGACAGTCAGTTATCATTAGTGCAATTCACTAATATAAAGTAAATTACTACTACTACTCAAAGTCTTGATGAGTTTTTCTCATCCTGTCAGAAAGGAAGAGATGGTTTATGAAATAATGCAACGATGTTCAACAAAAGAACACAGGAATCCGGAGCTGTTTAGCTTTATCAGGACACTCACGGAGCTAAAATATGAATCATATCAAGATAGCACCATTTAGCTGAAAGAAGAGAAAACGGAACAGAAAAAGAACTGGTTGTATCAGAAAGAATGATTTTTGTTGTCAATGGAAATAAAATAAACATATCAACTTCAAATGAAAATGAAGCTAAGCACAAGTTAAAGCAAGGTAAATATTTCAAGTTAAAGCATGATTATAATAAGTAACCGTCACAGCCTAGGAGCAATTCACGTTTCTCTAAAGAGTGCTCAGTTTCATTCCCATCCAAGATGCAGAGCCCCGCTGCCTCCCAGTTATGTCTCATGCATGTCTGAAACAGAAGTGCACTCAACCCCATCATGCTGTCAAGGGGCTGACAGATTCTCATATAAACTCATGCACCAAGCTGGATGGTTGAAGACCTCCATAAACCTCATCCGTGTTCAACATATATGACAAAACAACCATAGTGTCATCACATGATATCAAGGGATGATGTTTCTTAACTTAAAAAAAAAAAAAAAGATAGAACAAACCATTGAGAGATAAGGCTGCTCCAACTATTTTCTAGGTGTGCAATAATAATCTTTGTATTTCTATGTGAATGTCTTACATCACGAATTGCATTTCTTTTGCAGGTGGTCTGCTATGGTCATTAGTCCCCAGATCAGTTCTCCAGGTGTGAACTTTTACAGTGGTACTTTGTTGAACTGAGCTCTGGGGCTACAGCCCAGTTTCCTCGTGCAATTCACATAATAGGGATTACAGGCAGAAGTTTTCAGAAGGGTATGCTCCCAATGTGTTGCAATCTTTTTTTTCTCTAACATCACCACTTCCAGGCCAGTGCTGCAAGCTGCAACTTCCCTGTGGTCTTTCTTTTGTGCTTTGAATCACAGTCCCAATAAATCCCTGTAATATCTTGCTATTTTCATGTGCCTTGTAAATAGCAGATGCATCAATGCCTCTCTTTGCATGCAGTTTGAAAAGAGAGAAGTGATGCTACGTCACCTTCAAAGCTGCACGGGGCATTGTCCATGCTACATAACTCAAGGCTCTCATTCCGTAGCAATAAGTTTTATCCCATGCAAACAAACAAAATAAACAACTACAACTAAGAAAGGCATCAATCACAAAGCTTTGCATTTCTGCAGTGGAACAGCAGTATGAAAATGAAGTTTTGTATTTCAAAGCAGAAGAGGAACATGTGGCTAATGAATCCATAGAAAATACCTGTAGCAGCTAGAGCTTCCAGGCCCCAAGACAGCTGGCCTTGAGTGCTTCCACGGAGGGTAATCTGGTATTGAGTGCCAGCTGTGAGATTGGTAATTTCTGTTTCTCGTTGGTTTCCCAGCAAAAAGATTTCCTGTGTTCTGTTTAAACTGGACAGGTCTTTCAGAGTGATAAGGAACTGATCAAATACCTCATCCTGTGCTGCCCAAGACAGGGTGAAACTACTGAAAGTCCTGTGGGTTATGTTAAGGTCATGAAGAGCATCAGTGACTTCTGAGATGGGAAGGTCAGTGGGCACCAAATGCAGAGCATGGGGACCAGTGCTGGGGTTTGTTAAGTGACTTAGCTCTGTAGGAGCAGGACTGGTAGCATTAAATGATGTTGCACTGTCTGGTTCTCCAGATGCTGTGATTAGATGTGCTAAACAAAGGTAAATTACAAGTTAAAATCTCCTGATAATTAACCTCCCAAGTACAGCACATGACAGCTAACACCTGGTACAAAACAGTTTCTGTGCTTTCATTAAAGAGCTCTAAGATCAGAGAAGACAGATGGGTACGTCTATTTTGGAGACTGAATCCAAGCTAGAAGCACAGGCAGCATCACCAAGCATGTGGTTCCCACACAGAGCCACACTAAGCAGCAGATCCAGAGCCACAACCATTAAGCACAGGGTTCAGCCGACATGCTTTCAGTGGAGAAATGGATGGATTCATCCTCAGTTGATGTAAGTCAGTCCACTTCAGCTACCTCTAAAGAACTTTGCTAATTTACATCTCTCAACCATGCCTTTTATCTCGACTACAGCACAGCAGTCATTGCTACTGATCCAAACCAAAACTGGAATGCATGCCAATTATTGCAACAATATCAAATCCAGGCTGAGAAATGAGATTCACAGAAACATGCTAAATCTCCTCCTGCCCAAGTAAAAACATGCTTGGAGGAGTGATCCACCTTGATACATGCTGAATTTTGAAGGAAGGGGAGGGGACCCTTAACTAAAAGATAAACAAACTAGAGCAATCTTCAGAGGGATCCAAAAGGATGGAAGAGAAGTAGGCTTGGCCTTCAACATGCCGAACAGATCTATGAACACAGCTTGTAGCACAGTCAGATTCCAAAAACCTGAAAGCTGTACAAAACTGCAAATGCGTTTCTGATCACAGCTGTAAGGCAACAGGCAAGTGATTTTTCTGACACTTCAATTAGCCATGCAGAATTATCTCCTCATTAGTGGAAAACCACATCATTTCACACCTCAGCGACTGCCTAGCTCTCATGCTCCATGGCATTCAATTAAGAGAAAGCAACTCATCTACCACCATCAATCAGATCAGCAGGAATACATTCTCAGGATTCAGTTATCTGTCTCCAAATTCACACACGTATCAAAAAAAAAGAAAAAAAAAAAGTTTTCAGACAAGAAAGATCGATTTAAAAGTGTTTTCAAATAAATGCAGAATTTTTAACATGAAAATATACTCTCAGAACAAGCACAGATGTAAAAACATCATTTCTCATCTCCAGGAAGGAGTGAGGTCTGTGAGGCAAGCAGTGACCTGTACTTACATCTATTATATATTACACATACCATATTAATAACACTCTTGACTTAGGTAAAGGTTGTTTTGAATTCCACCAGTATGTGACCTGAACCAGGCCCTACATATGGTGCAGCCTGAAGACAGCACTGTTGCCAGCACATCAGCATACGTGCCATGAGAGCTGCTGGTAATTCATTCTTTCTTTGTAACTGTACTGTCAGAACTGTTATCTGGCCACAGTAGGGTGATGGAGGAAGGTTCCCAGGGAACAAATCAGGAAGACATGCAGCACGTTCTTTAGGTTTCTTTGACTCGAAGGAATACTCAGAAATACTCAAAAAATACTCAAAAAAATGCATAGTGGCAGCTGGGCTTTACTGTGAAGTATTTCTGCTGGAGCCATGCATAACCAAAGTGAACAGACCAGTGGGGAGGAAAAAGCATCAGCATGTTATACATGTAAGCTCCATGGCATGGATGGTCCCACTGGGGAAGTGCTGTGCATCTTGAGCTGCAAAAGGGGGAAAAAATATCCAAAAATGCAAGGGAAAAAGAAGAAATGAGGCTATATGTCCTTGAGCTGACATGCTAAGAATCCTTGAGAAAACCCTGTGAAACATCATTAAAAATTGGCTTTTTTTCCTCATTTTTGTTTGACCATCCCCATTAATACTTATCCCAAATTCCCACTAGTGGGTTAATTTTATTGTGAGACCTTTGACAACCACACAGGAGGTTGTCATGTACATATTATCCCTATGATGGCATGTAAATAAGTTATCTCTGATAATTACCTTGTGTTTAATCACTGACTCCACAGATGAACTTATGGAAGAGAAAGAGTGGTCTACACTCTTCATGCATTATAAACACACGTGTTCACAGATGAGTACACGTTACATTATTGTGTAACAGGGGAATATGTGGCTTTTTTAGTGACATGCAACAGACAGGAAAATGTAAATGATACGAACACATGGGAAGCACTCTGATGCCATAGATAGAATCAGTGTTCGATGTTCAGCAGACAGAGTATTAGCTACAAAATGGATAACAGAAAATTTGGATCACAGTCGAACTGGAGATCATGGAGATCAAATAATTGACGGAGAAAGTAGGGAAATAGATGGGAAGAAAGCAGAGCTGTAGGAGCTCTAGGTGGGTGGATGACAGCCAGATAGGCTGATTCACGGTGGTGAGATGAATGAGTAGCAGATGCCAAAGAGTTGAAAGCTGAGAGGAATGCAACTTGATGGACAACAAACATATGCTCTTTCTCAGACTAGAATACTTCTTAGTATCGTTCTCTTAGTAAAATCTTCAGGCTGAATATGGCCAAAATATGTCCACGCTGCTGCTGCTGGCCTTTTGAGGAATTCCACTTGTAATGCTTCACTGGAGTTTTACTCAGAAGAATGTTAACGTCCTGCCAGGACATTTCCCCGGTTACTTGGGATGGAGCAAAGAGTATTTTGTATTATTTCTCGCTTCCGTCTCTTGGATCTCACATTATTTTCCAAGAGAGGCTATCAACAAGTTGCACTGCAGAATCTCTAATCAGCTCAGCTCACTGCAGGGTATCACTGCAGTTCCCTGAAAGAGGAATGAAGAACACTAAAGTGTTGGTGTTTTAAGAACACTTTGGCTAAACGGCTTTCCCCTCTCTCAACCGGCTGTTTAAACACAGAGGAAAGCACTGAAATATATCAGAGTCCTGAAATACTACAGAAACTACTGCTGAAAATCTGAGATTCCAGGTTCTCTCAATAGAGGAATCAGCTGAATAAATGGACAAACTTTACTGGTAAATCCATTTTCCGAGGGGTCAGCACTGCAGTTTCCCATCAAGCTGTCTCACCTAATCACTCTTCCTAATGCTCCTTTGAGTCTGCATACAAAAGGAGCAGTGCATCTGAGACTAGAATAAGCCAGGAGAGGAAGAGGGTATGATGCACAACACAGACAGAAGTCTTCAGTAAACAGCATAAATCTTCTTTAAAACATTCACCAGAATGGAAAAACTTGCTTCTCCAAGCCATGCTCCTATGTGTAACTCATTTCCAGAGGCAAGGCACTATCACATCCATGATTTGTCAGCAGTTGCTGCACAATCTGGGTCCTTCAGCAGAGGAATGCGAGGTTGGCACTTGGTTTTGCAAATGTGCACTCATTTATTTCCACAGCCTGATGTATTACCATTCCTCCTCCTCCAGGACCCACATTGTGCTATGCAGGCAGGGCTCCAGAGCCAGAAGAAGACAGAACAAAGCTGCAGTCTGACTGCTCAGCTTTCTCAGAGCTGGGTTAAGCGCTCACTCTGCAGATAGTTGTCAATCTCATCTAACATTCCCCAGATATGCTGCCAGGAAGGTCCCCTGAGCTAGCAAAATGGCCCCCTTTGGTTTCTGAAGTGGTTCTAAACCAAAAACTGAGTGAAATGTGGGGAAGGACCTCATAAATGGAGATACTCTGGTTTGTGGTACCTTAGTTAATAACAGAAAGGAGGTACCTGTTGCAGCCACAGCTCCAGAAGAGGGACATGTTATCCTCCAGCCAGCCCATACACCTTGATTTTATTGGAAGTGTTCACCTGGAGACCTTTAATCACAGCATTTAGGGGTTCTCTGGGCAGGAGGGTTTCTGCAGGGGGTTCAGCTGCCACTGGCATCTCCTTGTACTCCACCACAGTGCCAGTGCAGGCTCCAGAGTTTGCATACCATGAAACACTAAAGCTGGGTCTGTAACCCTTCAGCCCATGAGGTCCCTCAGTTCCTCCTCCTGCATCCCTGTGTCTACCTGAGCAACACAGCTCCCAGGAGCAGAATGCTTCTCTGGGCCAGGAGTCACTGCCTGCATTAGGGTTAGACTATGTGGAGCTACAAGGAAGAAAACAAGCAAATGGCAGTGTGAAATATTCAGACTTTCCTTTTCACTATGTAATTTTTAGCATTCCTTGAATGCAGAATCACAGACCCCAATACAACTTTGTAACTGGAGCTGCACTTCATCCATAGAAGGAAACAGAAGTGACACAAGGCTGCCATCCTATGGTGTGGAATGTTTCACGACATGTGCTTTGATCAAATCTTGCGAGCTCTGAAAGTTTTGACCACTTATGTGCAATAAGTTGATACACACACAAAGACAACCAGAAGCATGCATGGGAGGAGAGAAGGCACCAACAGAGAATGGATATTCTGGGGCAGAAAGAAGCCTTGCCTTCAGTAACAGATGATTCACTAGCAAGCAAATTCAAATAAGCAGCAGGAAACAAAAGCCCTGACACTTCTGGATATCTGCATGCAGAAAGCCTGACTGAGCAAGAGGGAACTGAGAGGAAATATTCTCAGGCATCCCAGAGAGTGCAGGGCCTCCCTTGTTCAGCGAGGACAGCACATGCCCCTCTAAATAACAGGACTGTTTCCACCAGACAAGAAGAGCTAGTCCAGGCTTAGCTGTGCTGCTGGCACTTTCCACATTAATCATTATTCTCTCTGCTTGGTAGTTCCAAGAACTCTCCTCAGAAGTGCAATGGACCTGAGGTCACCCATAGCTCTACGAGAGACAGCAAAATAACAAGTTTGTTTTGCTTAGCCTGAGGACTTGAGGGCCCCCCAAGTACTGAGAATAAAGCACTTCTGCCTCCCCACACTCGTGTGTTTGGATGTGTCCATTCCTAGGCAGGGGGGCCAGGAATGACAGGTTATGTCAACTGCTGCTGTTGCTTCTAAGGAACTCACTGCAGAGAACTCTTTGTTTATTGGCTGCTCTGAGTGAAGACTTAAAACAAATACACCATCCAGACGATCTTCTTTAAAAAAAAAAAAAAAATACTTAATAATGCAAAGAGAAAACAAACCATCTTGTGGAACTTTGGAAACAGGCGTTGGAAAGACCAGACTGTGAAATTCCACAGCATGTTGTTTCTGCCTTTTCACCCTCTACACATACTTCTTTTGAGACTGCTCAGTCTTCAGACAGATGGGGAAACAGATCACTTTAGAAAAATCAAAGCCTGCTCAATCATGCCATGTAAACCTTCAGCTTCCCTTTGTATGTGTGTGCTCCAGTGTTCCCTAATTTCTCCCTGCATTGGACACAGGCCTGATTTATGCATCAAATAAGTAATTCACTACTTATGGTTTACTGCAGCTTATACAACGCCATATAACTCACTCCTGCACTGGATTACCTAGCTCTATAAAGCATTCATAGTGCTGCTGGCATGAATATTGCCTAGGAATATGAAACTGTGGGATTATTTGTTATTGTTTTTGGTTTTGTTTTGTTTTAAAGCCATTCAGGTCTTTACAATTATTAGTTTGCAAAATCCACAGCTTCTGATGTGTTTACCTCAACAGGTGGTCTTTTGGGGGAAAAGGTTAAAAGCCTTGACATGTGCTAAGGAGAATAATTCTAGCCCCACTGATTCTTATTCACTGCCTCTGCTCCCTCACAGCACCTGAGGCTGAGCCTCCCAAAGTTTAGGCTACATGCACTTAAAGATTCAGGACTCATTTATGTTCTATGATCCGTGCACAATAAACTTTGGAGAATAAAGTTTCACAGAGGAATTTCATTCCAGGAATGGTCCATTGGTTCTAGTTAAGTAGAGTGGTTCGTACAAATGGAGAGGGCAGAAATTTGCAGACAAATACAACAGTCGTGTATCCAGTGGAAAGAGTGACTGTGACCAGATTTGTGACAATAGCCTGTTTCTGCTTTTGGATGAGAAAACTGAGGAAGGGCAACATCAGAGCCCTGTTGACCCTGCTGAAGCATGATGGGTGGAAGCATGCTGTGAAGAGAACTCATTAGGCAGGAACAAGCAATATTAGAAACATTCTGGTTGCTCTTCCTCCTAGATTTTGGCTGTAGAATATAAAACAAGTTATAATACAACATACAAAAAAGCAGCCTCACATCAAACAAACGATGAGGTCTGCATTTCCTGCAGAACAAATAGCTGTGTTCTTTGTGAGCCTTCTCAGAGGGTAAGCAAAGAAATCATTGAGAACATGGAGCTAAACACAACTGTTCCTCAATTAACCTGTCACGCTAGACAGAGCTAAGCCTGCTTTGCAGGCAGTGGATGTTTTTTAGCAGTTCCTCAGACACGGCTCAGAAAATCAGGTGAAAGTGCACTCAGACCAGTCACTGATCAAGGACCTGGTGCGTGGTACTCACTGGAAGCTGTTACTCACCAGTCGAACCCTTGATGGTTGTGGGTTTGCTTTTGTATCTGCCTTTCTCTGCCACCAGACTGATGGTGTACTCTGTCCCTGCATCTAATCCTCTCAAGATATAAGAGGTGGTGTCCACAGGGATCTCCACTTCATTCTTCTTTCCAGAGGGGCTAACGTAAGTGAGGCGGTAACGATCAAATTTGGCCACTGGTCTTCTCCAGCGAAGGGACAGGGTGGTTTCAGTGGGGTCACTGACTTCCAAGTCCTTGGGGTTATCAAGATCTACAGGTGAAAAAGTAAAGTTTAGGTGTCTCTGAAGTCCCCTGGGACAAATTTTCAGACAACTGTAGAGCAGCAACTGTATTGAGTGTCTAGTGACAGATCTGAGTCTCATCTGCCACTCTGAGCTTTGGAAGTCATAGAATGGATCATAGAAGTCCATTGCTTCATGTAGGTAGAGGAAAAGGCAGTTCTCTTTTATAGACAAAACACACTAAATCTAAATTTCTGCCATTTATGTTCACTTCAGCTAGCACTGCATGAAGGAGAGAAAGAATTTAAACCCTCAGAGCATTTACCCAGGGAAAAGGAGATGTTGTGAGAAAAGATTAACTTCTTCCTCCAGAGCAAAAGAGAGGGTCAAGCTACTCACCAGTGCCAGCATTAATGGTAGCAGGAGCACTTTCCCTGTCCTGTCTCACTGCTGTCACTCCAATGCCATATTCAGTTCCAGGTCTCAAACCTAAGAGATAAGGAATAGACATATAAGTCCCTGCCCATGGGAGATGCCTACTGGTACGTTTGTGTACCAGTAAGAAGTCTGTATATGTAAGAAGTCTGAATATATTCTCTACTAGATGTATGCTAGGTATACGCAGACATCCACATTACATGAGAAAAGTACCATAATCTAACCTTGCAGGACAGTATGGCTATTTGTACACACATGGAAAAGCTGCAAGCTGGTGTAAGTAAAACCATCCTTAGTATATTCAAATGCCTCTTGAACTTACAGATGTCAAACAATCTTCACTAAGACACGTGACCCAGAACTCAGGCAAGTGACCAGCGGGATTTGAAGACGCATATGAAAGTCAAATAGCTATTTACCCACCTGTGGGTCTGTAAATATATATCACCTCCATTTTAATTTAACTACTTCCTCTCACAGTATGCAACCTCTACTTGCTGCTCTTATATACAATGATCAAAAAGATTTTTTGGTCCCGTGCTCCATGGTGATGGCAGCAGGGGGACATTAGTAACAATTTATTGATTCCTTTACCTGTGAGTGTAGCTCTGGTTGTTGCTTGGTTGCCCTTTGGCACTGTCAGCTCAGTGTGGTCTCCACCAGAAATGGGAGCAAACTTAATTCGGTAATTATCAATATTGGCATGGCTGTTCTTCCACTCCAAAGTAATGCTGTTGTCTGTCTGCGACACTCGCTTCAGGTTTCGTGGAGCATCCAAGTCTGTAACAAACACATTAATAAATAAAACCAGACATAAGTAACAGGAATAATTCTCTTATGACAACAGCCTTTTAGAACAGTCCATTTCAGAAGATGAACATGACCATAAAGCTGACATTGTTCCCTCTTGTATGATATCACTTCACTACATCAAGCAGATTTTTTTTAGTATGATGACCCATACTTTCATAAAGCATTCCCAGGATGACAAAGGAACAAAGTCATCTTAAAAAAAAAAACATCACAAAAAAACATTTGCAGATCTGAAGAAAAAGAAAAAAAAAAAAAACAATGTTTGCCAATCTGTTATGGAGTTAGGCAAGCAGAAGTAAGGTCTTAGATGGAAGGAGAACCATGGAAGCTGTTTAGCTCAGCAAACAGACAAGTATCCAGTGGAATTTCATTTGAGAAGTAAAGATTCAGGGTGTGATGAGAGAAAGCTTCTAGTGACTTTATATTATAATTCCCATTTTCAGCAAATATTTAGAGACTTGAAGGGCCTGAATGTTTTGTTGGGTCAGTAAGGCATGTAAGGCACAGAAAAACTTTCATGTAGGTTCTGTGTTGATGCAGTGACTATCAACTCAAGAAACACGATACAAACAGCACAGGAAGATTGATGCATGATTACATTAAACTCACAGAAATGTGGATTGTCACCCAGCCTCCTTACCTGTGACAAAGACTTCTTTTGCAGGGTCACTTTCCATGTCCCCTCGCCGAGAGATGAGTGTCACTTCATATTCTGTGTGTGGCCTCAGGTTTCCAATGGAATATTGGTTTTCATCCTCGGAGAGGTCAATGGTAGTCCTGTCTCCTGGAACATCCTTGGGGCCATATGTAAGCTCTATGCCTTCAATTTCAGCCAAGGGTTTGGACCATGTGATCAGAGCTGTAGTGTCTGTGACATCTTTTGCCTCGATCTGGCTAGGGGCATCAAGTTCTGTTTTAATGAGAGGAAAATGTTATTAAAAAAAATTAAATAAATCTTAACAGAAAATTCATAATGCTTGCTTAGGCTTTTAATTGCTTCAGAACAAAATTAACATGAATGGCTTCTACAAAATGAAGCTTGTCTTCATTTACTTTCTTCCTTACTTGCCAAGTGGGGCCAATTCATCATAAACAAATTCATTAAATTCATTAACATATGAGGTTGCCAAAACAAGGACAATCAGAAACTCTGAGTTTTACACAATGGAAAATCTTTCCTAAGCAATTTCTTCATGCCAATATCAGCAGGATGAAAGAAGTTCTACTTTCTGTGGATGTACCTTTTAGGAAAGAATAAAAGTGCATGCTGGTAGCGACCTTCTAGACAAAAATAAATTTCCTTTCCACTTTAAACAGGTGATTTGGAAAGCAATGATTTTTCTCTCATGTCTTTGTCATTAAAAGCCCCAATGCTTTTTTTCTTCTCTCTATTTCCCTGAGAATGCACCTTATTGAGTTAAATTTTCTCTGTGTTTTAAAACTCCCCAGGCTACACCAACCAGCAGTTGTTTCATTGGTTGTACTGTAGGTATACAGGCTGTGCTTACTTGTGGTTATCACACGGGATAGCCCTGGTCCTCTGGTATTGTTTTTCACTATATGAAGGGATACGTTATACTGCTGTCCTGGTGCCAAGCCTGGCTGCATATATGATGTCTCTGGCCTTTTCAAGCTGCTGGTTATGTCTCCATTATCATCCTTTTTCTGTAACACGTGGAACAATCAGTTAATAAAACATAAAAATATCAGGATCTTTCACTTGTATGAGAAGCAAGGCTTTGACACCAGGAACGATGCTTCCTTACCATATTACGAAAGACCAGCTCCCAGCCATCAAAGGAAATGCTCAGAGGATCCCACTCCACCTGGACAGATGTTTCTCTAACGGATTTGAATTTCAGACCTTCTGGAGCAGGCAGATCTGTGACAATAAAAGAATAAGATAAATACATACGTAACAAGTAATAAATGAGGATGCTGGTGGTGGAACATCTTTTCACAGCTATAACTATCTGCCATGGAGGGATCTGCATCTGAGATCATGGAATCATAGAATGGCTTGGGTTGGAAGGGACCCAAGGGATCATCAGAGATGTTTAACCTCTCTTCACAACTGGTTATTCTGCCTCTGGAGAGACATTCCCCTGACCTCTTCTAGATGTTGACAAAGAATAAAACAACTTTGTTTGTACCCTACAAACAGCTATTTTTGCCTTCTTGAAAGAAACCTAGTGTGGACATTTGATGGTAGGTGAAATGAACCTACTGCAGGTCTCTCAGAAGAAGAACTCTGACTGAAGTCAAAGAGCATCTTCTGAGACTGGGACATTAAATTAGACTGTGATGGGCACAGTAAAAGAGGCAAATGGACTACAGATCGACAGATAAGGAGGCAGAATAAGTTGTGGCAAAACACACTGAAGATACAAAACAAATGGAAGTTCCATTTTAGTCAAAACAAAATCCAAATGATTTCATATTGCTCTTCTGTTACACTTGCTATAATTATATATATATTTTCAGGGAGCATTACCAGAGTTCAAAAATATACCTTATTAAAAAGGAATTGAGGATCTTAATTTACAAAGACCCCATAATAATGAACTTTGCTTTTAACACTGACATGGCTATTGAAACAGAACAGAAAAGGAAAGTGGTGAAGGCTGTCTTTGTTGAGAGCAGAAGATGAACTGAAAATAGAAAATACAAAAGAAAGAAAACCCTAACACAAACCTAATACAGAACAGACAAATGAGTGAATAGAGGGAATATTAAACTCACATGTCGCTACTCTGGCACTGACTGGAATACTTTTCTTGTTTTTAAGGATTGCAAAGACACGGATGAAGTATTCCACACCCGGCTCCAGCTCACGAATAGTGGCAGATGTCTGGTTTCCTGGTACGGTGAACTGTAGATCTAAGCCACCACTGCTGGTAGGGACATAGGTGACAAGGTACTCATTGACGAGATTCTCATGCTTCCATTCCAGATTTACAGTTTTATCTGTTACATTCGTTACAGTCAGCTCCGTTGGAGGAGACACTAGAGAGGGGAAGAGCAAAACAAAAGTCAGTTCTCAAGGCTCAGAAAATAATGACCTACCCAGCTTCCCATTTTCCCAGGAGCAGTTTATGAGAATCACCTAACAAACAGGGAATGGGGAAGCTGTGCCACACAAATTAGCCACTTGTAGAAAGGAATGTTCAGCTGATGAAGACTACAGATGTTTCCAGAACTAATGGGCCAATTTCTGCTTTCATGCTTGCACATAACCTATGGCTGACTGTGTTCCAGCCTCTTCTTTCATGGCCACGACACAAGACTACTGGGTCCTGAGGGAATCAGACTTTAACTGAACTGCCAGCAACACATGATTTTATAGTTGGAAGTCCCGGGGTTTGGATATACAGAATTGCACAGATTTTCCACAGTAAAATAAAACATGATTATTTTTGTAAATACTTTGAATAGATTACTCCGTGTTTGCACGTGCAGGAGCCCAAAATGTGGCTTGGGAGCCTTCCAAAAGGAGGAGATGAAAAATGAGAATTACTTTCCAAGGGTATTCATTGTCCTTTACAATGTTCCCAGCCCCAAAGTACTCTTTGATTACTCTACAAAGATCTTAGTTCCAAAATTCCTCCCCTGGGATCTCCTAAAGAAAACTGCCTCCTTTATAGTGTAATGCCTGTCATTATGTAGCTGCCAGCATTTTCTATCCATTTCCATAGAGTCAGTGGTACTGGGAAACTAAACACATGGCTTAATAGCTAAGTTTCCACTCCAGCTGATTCCATTATTTTAATCTAAGCTTTGTCAAATCTAGCTGTACAGTGTTCCTTATATATAATATATAATATGTAAATTGTGTACGTATTTATATACATAAATGTTTTAAGTTAGAAAAATCCATTTGGTCTATTGAAGGATAATCAGGGCCCCTGCGATAATTCTGAAAGCTTGCATGGAAATATTTGTGACATCTGGCAATTCTATCATGATGGCTGTCTCATCCTCAGATGGGACAGCCATATTTTCTGCACATGCCTTGCCTGCTCTGCCTCCATCAGGGCTCCATCTCAAAGGTCTACCTCCAAAGCAAAATCACAGAGCGCTTGGGGTCTGTCAGTATGTAGTCTCAGAACTGTGCCTTTTGGTCTTTTTGGCTCTTACAATAGCAGTAGCATTGCAAATGCAAATCCCTTCTTTACTGGTCCAGCATGAGACTGGGAACTAGAATCTATCTGTGGGAAACATTTCATATCTAAGCTCTTTATTCCCTGAATTTATTATCCACATTAACGCATTCCTGACAGTCTTTTTTTTTTTTTTTTTTTTTAGTAAAAAGTCTGTTCATATTCTTTTTATTAATCCAGATAAGTACCTAAGTAAGAAGTTGCTGGATTCACCTCCCTCTTCTCCTTAGCTTTTAGATGCAACTGTTTAGCATCAAGAGTTATCACGAGAAACCAAACAATATCGTGACAAATCCCCATGCAGTGCTAGCTCCACTGAAGGGAAGAAACTTGGAGATGACAAATCAACTTTGTCACCGTTACTGGACTTCTGTCTTGCTAGCCATTGAAAGTCACCTGCAACCACTACGATACACAGCCCTGGGAAGTAAGGGAGGGAAATGCTTGCTCTGAGCACGCGAGCTCCACTGCTTCAGCTGTTTGGACTGTGATGAATAAGAGCAGAAACACATAGCCCTGCTATATGAAAAACACTAAGGTGGACACAGGGAATGGATGACACAGGGGAAAGAGTTCAGAAGGGCCATTGCCACCTACCATCAGAACAGTCGATCCCCATGTAACCTTCCTCACAGACACACCGTCCCTCGACACAGCGGCCCACGTTGTTGCAGTTGTTGGGGCAGGACCGTTCCCGGCAGTCTTCCCCAGTGAAGCCCTCGTGGCACACACAGCGCCCATCAACGCAGCGCCCGCGCTGGTGGCAGTCATTGGGACAGGACAGCTCCCCACAGTCCTCCCCGGTGAAACCGTTGTCACACACGCAGCGTCCCTCCACGCAGCGCCCACGGTTGTGGCAGTCACTGGGGCACTGCAGCTCCCCGCAGTCCTCCCCTGTGTACCCCTCGTCGCACACGCACTGCCCATTGACGCAGCGCCCACGGCTGTTGCAGTCGTTGGGGCACCGCAGCTCCCCGCAGTCCTCCCCGATGAATCCCTCGTGGCACTCACACTGCCCATTGACGCAGCGCCCGCGGTTGTGGCAGTCGTTGGGGCACCGCAGCTCTCCGCAGTCCTCCCCAATGAACCCCTCATCACACACGCACTGCCCGTTGACGCAGCGCCCGCGGTTGTGGCAGTCGTTGGGGCACCGCAGCTCCCCACAGTCCTCCCCCAGGTACCCCTCGTGGCACACGCAGCGCCCATCCACGCAGCGCCCGCGGTTATTGCAGTCCTTCGGGCATCTCTTCTGGCTGCAGTCATCCCCCACGAAGCCCTCATGGCACACACACAGCCCGTTCTCGCAGCGCCCGTTGCCATTGCAGTTGTTGGGGCAGGTCAGCTCGCCGCAGTCCTCCCCTGTGTAGCCCTCCTCGCAGAAGCAGGTCCCATTGACGCAGCGCCCGCGGTCGAAGCAGTCGTTGGGGCAGATCAGCTCGCCGCAGTCCTCCCCTGTGTAGCCCTCGTCGCAGACGCACTCGTTGTCCACGCAGCGCCCACGGTTGTGGCAGTTGTTGGGACACAGGGGCTCACTGCAGTCCTCACCGGTGAAACCCTCGTGGCACACACAGCGTCCAGCCACACAGCGCCCATGAATACCACACCCGTGGGGGCAGAGCTCCTCACCGCAGTCCGGGCCCGTGTAGCCCTCGAAGCAGACGCACACCCCATCCACACACTTGCCTTGGTCGTTGCAGTCAGATGGGCAGGCAGCCTGGCTGCAGTCCTCGCCGGTGAAGCCTTCCTCGCAGATGCATTTGCCCCGCACGCAGAGGCCGCGGTTGAGGCAGTTGCGTGGGCAGGCTGGTTCAGAGCAGTTGGGGCCTTTCCAGCCTGGCTCACACACACAGCCGCAGATCTCGGTGCTGTAGTTGCCGTGCCCACTGCAATAGGGGGCCGTGTCCAGGCGACCTGCACCAACGAGTCAGGAAACCCTTAGCTTGGGGGTGTCAGGCCAGCGTAGCACACACGGACCTGAAAGGAGTCTGGTTTACCCAGCTCCCTACGGGACATGATTTACAGAATCACCTGCATTTTTTGAATGAAGCACTTCCTTTCTCTCACGAAACTTAGCAGGAATGCTTTAATTCATACTACTGCCAGGGTGTGAAGGAGCGCCCCTGCAACTGCTTGGTAAAATGAGCACGTTGGATTCCTCTGCTCTTCTCAAAATCCCTCTTCCACTGACTGAGCAGCTTTCCTGACTGCTTCATTAGGGCACGCACCATGAAGCATCATTCACCAATTCACCCAGAACACAAAAAGCCAGGCAGCACGCTGTATCGCCAACAGTGAGACCAGCTCTGTGCTCAGAGAGGACCTAACTTCTGACCAACCTGTGTTTTCTCTATCTTATGACCAACCTCTTACTTCAGTTTAAAAAGCAGCAGGAGGGATACTTTCTTTTTTTCCTCTTAAATCATTTGTTCTCACTAGTTCTAATCTACTGCCTACGTCCCGCTGTATTTTTATTGGTCTCTATTAAAGAAAACTTGGACGTTAAAACAGCTACATTGGCAGCCTGCTCAAAGGGACAACATGTGGAGCCAAAACCTTGGGCTGTGCGAGTTTTAATCTCAACTCCGACACTGTCACCTTGTCCAAGTGCCATACTTGCTCAATGCCACAGCTACAAGGCCCAGACAAACATCTGACCCACAGATCCATAAAACTAGAACTGTGAATGAACCAAGCTGGCGAACGCATTGATTACATTTCAAATTTAACAGGTTGACTTTTGTTCTTTCTTGAAACAGATTCGAGTATCTACTCTAAACAAGATCTGCTGCCAGCATGAGAATTTCCCCGCGTGGTTCCCCAGCCTGCCTTACCTTCTGCTGTCTGGGAATTAGGACAGCATCCAGCTCCGCTGGCACACTGCTCCCGGAGGGAGGATACCAGCCCCTCCAGCTCCTCCAGTCTGCTCAGCAGGTCCTTGATGTCTGGGGCAGCCGCACAGCCACAGGCCCGGCGGGGAATGTTGATGCGATGCGTGAAGACGATCTGGTTCCCTTCATTCACCGTATGCTCCTCGTAATTCTTGACGGGCTCAATTTCTGCCTTTAGGTCTGCGTCCCCGCTTGCTGTGTCCAGGTCCACAGAGCAAAGGGAGCCAACAGGTAACTTGATGTTGTAGACGTGGTTAAAAACCACGGGCTGATTTTCCTCTGGTAAGGTCACGTTGAGCCCAGTCTCCCGCTTCTGCCGGATGATTCGCTGGATGAGCCCACCGCTGGCATGCTGGTACAGCAAACCTAAGATGGCACAGGCCAAAACATGGGAAGGGAGTCCCATTGTGGTGTTCAGTTCCTTTTCAAAGCTGATGGAGTCTTATATTTGCTTGGCCTTTTTAGTCTGCAGGAGAAGTTTGAGAGCCAGTTCAAATTAAGTTGAGTTGAGTTTCCTTTCTTGGCACGCTTGTTCCCTGAAACAAGAAGGAACAGGGTTAAGGGATGAACTGCAGCTTCCCCACCCAACAGCAGGCCTGGGACACTCACTAGCATCCTTAAGTAAGCTAAAGCTGAAAGTCTCATTTCCTTCATTCATTATCCCACTGCTTGAATGCTGGATCACTGCTAATATAAGCTGGATCATATGAAAAATTCATGACATTGTCAAAAGGCCTATTAGCATTAATAAACCCATTGTAGCACTTTTGCGTCTGGTTTAATTTATTTCAGCTTCTAGGGAATCTGATCTGTGGAGCTTGTAGCCCAATAGTAGATTGTATTATTTTGATAATTTTTCTACAGAGAAACAGAGTGCTCTGAAGAACACTGCAGATGAGGATCCTGGGGTCAGTGCCTGTATCATATCTACTGTCATTTTAGCACAAAAGTAATGGGACGCAAAAGATTATCCCAGATGAGGATCCAAGAAGGAAGACAGACTGTAAGAAATATCAATAGAAATACAGGAAGTCTGTTGAACTATAGTGTACTATAGCAAACTTCAAAGGGTAGGAGAGCAGGCAGGTGGGCAGGAGAGAAAACAGGTGGGTAGGATAAAAGAAAACATGCACATACACCAAACTGGGGATGGAGGAGAGGGAGAAGGAAGAAAAGGAAATGAAATCCTTTGAAGTTCTTCAAGAGAAAGAGGAAGCTTTTTACCAATAGAGGTGTAAAACAAAGTCTTCTTAGCAACAAATAAGCCTTTTCATTAGGCAACATTTCACAGTGTCTTATCTTTCATCAGATATAATATGATACCTTGCTTATGGTTGAAAGCACCTGGCTGGGCTATACTGCCTCTTCCCGAAACTCACTCTACTCAGGTTGCCTCAACATTTCCTCTTCCTTCTCACTCCAAACCCTTTCTTTTCAAATGCCACAAGCCATGGGAGATGAAAGACTTTTGTGCGACTTCATGCAGAATCAGCCTGTTACCATGTACAGTAAGAACCTACAGCAGCTAATGGATAGACTAAACAAAGCACACCTATTAAATGTCATCTTAACGTTGGTTTTTCTTTCTACTCATTTAAGTAGTTAGGTTGGTGACTGGACTTTCCCAATTGTAAGTTCCTTTCTTTGTGCCAGTAACGGAGGAAACAGAAGTTTATCCTCTAAACACCGCAATTTTGATAATAACTCATTTGTTAAATGGGAGACTAGCTTCTTCCACTGCTCTGCTTCCCATAAAATGTATGGGATCGCTTTCCCATACTATCCCAGCTGTTTTGTGAAAAATAACAGTCATACATCACACACTTCACTGAAGTAATTTTTGTGTAGACAATGTTGAGCTCACAAAAGAGTGAACTTCGCCCCTTTTTATTGGGGAATAAATCAAAAGTAAACACACAGCAGTGGATGCTTTTATCTTGTTGTGGAAAAGCATTCAGCTTTAAGCCATTTCTAACACTTATCCTATTTGTTCAGATACATCTACAGTCTCTGTCTGCACCAGAAGAGATCACAGTATAGCTAATAAAGAGTAAGAGAGAAACATGGTCCAGGGCTCATTTGTGACTCAATCCCTAAGTAGGACTGCAGCTCATGAAACACATTTGAAGTGGTATTTAAACTTCAAGCACATCCACTTGGAGTTTGCAAACTGCTTTCCATGCATTGAGATGCCATGTGCAGTACCTTTTTGCCCTAAGACAAGTTTATATATTTGCAATGGGTGCCTAGGCCTCAAGTAGTTATTTAAGGGGCAGGCTGCTTGAAAGGGGCAGGTTGCTTGAAAGATGCATCACCTGGCGGAACAAACTAGAGGAAGGTATGCACCTAATTCTTAATGAATTTATATAAAGGTGATCATCAGTTTCCTTACAGCTTTTTTAATTCCCAGCCTAGAGGAACACGCGTCTTGTCCAAACCTAGAAAGTTGATAGTAGTTTTTCTGCTGACTGCTATGAGCTTACAGATTATTTTATGATGATACAAACTATGGTTTCTGGAAAATGAAAACCCTGCCAATGACAAAAGCTAGACACTTTCACTGTGGATGAAAGCCACACTGACACTACCACTTTTACTGGGTATTCATTGCATTAGATTCAGCCAAATATCTCAGCCTACTGATGATACTGGGAGATGTAATATATCTTGTCTGACATCCTTTTGAAGTTTATGAAGGGTGGTCTGGAAGAAGCATTCCACAGTGCCTGATCTATGACCTTTGTGTTTTGAAACGGAGTGCCATGTCTGAGCTAATCTGGATCAGGTGTTTCTCATCCGATCTGCCAAGGACCCAGCACGATATACTGAGCTCCACTGATAGATCTGAGATCCAAAGAACAAGACACCTTCATGCAATTATTTATGCGTTAGCTGTATTTTTGGCTGGAAGAACAAAGATGACATCCTTCCATTCAAAATCTTTCAAACATGTCTACACAACAGCTCAGGCCATGAGGGACCACCCAGGAAGGCTCTTCTAAAGAAAAATGGAAGCCACAGCTATAGCCAGACTCAGTTGTCTCTTCCATTTTTCCCCATCTTCTTCCTTTCAAAATGGTTTATATGGATTGTTTTTGAAAATTGCAGACGTACTACCTCTTGGAGACGTCCTTTTCTTTGCAAATATCAGCTGCTTGATTATTTACAGGCACCCAAGAGTCCTGGAGCAAGAGTCTGCAAAAGATGACTTCACAACATGAGCTTGGCCTTGCTGCAGTGTACAAAAAAGGAGCTGAGTGATGCTTGTGGCACATCTCTCAGATATGCTGAGTAATTTGTCTACCCAATAATGTATCCTTTTAACAAGCAATTTGTCAAATAAGAAATATTATTCATCCATTACGAACTGTTCCCCTTTGTGTCTTCATACCATCTTGACTACTGCTTCCTACCATCTTAACACAACTGCTTCAGAAATCTCAGCAACGATTCTGTGGCTGGTCTGCAAAACCTTCTGCTTGTCATGAAAAAGAATATATCCTAAAAACTTGTGTTGTCTTACCTGCCCTTGATAGTGGCTCAGCCACCAGAACAGTAGCAGTGAAGGAAGTTTGGAATGTCTGCAAGGAGAGCTGGATTTTAGAGATGGCATAAGATACCATTTGGTCTCGTTATGTCTAACCTTAAGGATTATAGCCAAGGGAATTATAAAACAGACCAGAGGACATGACCTGGGCTCTAGCTCTTAATGCAGCAAGAGCAGCACTATTTCCAGGAGCACTGTGCAGAGCCAGCGTCTTGCTCTGGGAGAAGCTGTGGAAATGCCCATCAGTTCAAGTCAAAAGAGAATTAAGACAATGGACATTTTTTCACCCCAGCCACATGCAAAACTTGCCATCTCCTCCCTATCCTTTTGTCTTGGCTGGCTCAAAGGATGATGTTCATATTCAGAATTTCTTTGATTTACAAAAGAAATATAGAGGTTAAAAATTAAGAAGTTAATCATGGCACCTATACAATACCAGCTGACCCAGAAAGCGTGAGGGAGAAAACTCCTGTATACATCATAAATGTAAATGCTAGATATCACTTAAAGAGGGAAAAAAAATGAAAGAAAAGGACCGCTCCTAGAAAAACACTCCTTAAAATCATGATCACTAGCAAGTAATACTGTGAGTAACATGTGGTGGAAGATGAACAATACAGAGAAAAGGAACAATTTTCATTTCCACTACAAACCCTTTCATCTGAGCATCTGAAAGTACAACATACTTTAACTGTCAAAGACAAGAAAATATTAGGGTTATTTTTTGATTTAGATATCTCCTCTCTCCCGCTGACATCATAACTTTGTCAGGACCTTTCAATTTAATTAGAAATTTGTTTCTTATTAGGAAATCGTCAGTCAAACTTGAAAAGAAGCCCAGGGAATCCTATCTCCTGGGGAACACTCAGCAAAGGTGGTGTATGAATATTTTCCTTCCCCAGAGACAGATTTGCTGGAAACCAGCAGGTGTGGGAATCTAAATTAATTCTTGCATAGTTTATAGTTCTAGTGCACCACTTTGGTCTCTCTTGCAAATTCAGGAATGGTAGAGCTGTGAGATTGTTTGTGGGCACATGGAGTGATAAAGATGCAAATGAGAACCTGGTGTGATTTTAATCAAAACAGATTGCAGCTGCGAAGGAAGAGGTGTTAAAAAAAAATATCTCAGCTGTCCTTCTGAAAGGAGGCAGAAGGCTGATTAGCCTTGCTCAGGCACCCTGTACATGCCACGACTGGGAAATGAGACATAAAGAAGACAGAAGGAAAAAAAAAAGAGAGAAAAAAAAGAATACAACTCCTCTCCCAACAGATACTTCCAGCATCACAGCAGGAGGGGATAAAATAATGTCAACATATATTGGATTCCAGCACACCTTGCTAACATTTGGACAGAAGTAGCAATGGGATGGATTCTGACAGAGGGGAAGACCTCAGCTGGAGAAAAAAACACAGAAGGGTGTACTTTAGGGTTTGTTAATCGCTAACCTCAAAACAGCTTTCTGTGATTTGTTAATGAAGAAACTTCATGTCTCAAGAATTTCCACCAAGGTGGGATCCTGCCATCTGTTCCCTGAAGAACGGGCATCCAGCAGTGCCACTGTGTGGGCACTGGCATCATGATAACACTGTGCTCTTCTCTTTATCTACTGCCATGCAGACAGAAGAGTCACACAGGGAATTTGATCAGACCTGGGATGCTCCTCGTGTGCTGACACAGGGAATCTGTGCATTCTCTACAAGGAAGAAAAGCAGTGCTATTACAGAGGATTAATAAATGGAAGCTGACTGCCAGAGTGCTTTTTTTATAAGGAAGGTTTTCAGAAGGTGCAACCTTTTGAAGAAAAAGTGCTAATAATACTGCTTTGCCAAGAGCATGTGACTCTGGAGGCTCCAGGCATCTCCTCAAACAGATGGATTAAGTCTGAAGTAAACTGAAGTGTTCTTAAGGAAAGAGACTGGTGAGGGCTGCAAGTTTTGACACAGCAGGCCAAAGCACGAACAGCCCTGACTTTGCCTTTCACTGCTGTT